CACATAAGTAGCTGCCCACTTCAAAAGGTGTATCCCCTCGCCTGCTTTGGCAGAGTAACGCATACTGGTGAGGACAAGCAGGCTAATTCGACTTATCGACGCGGGAGCTGCAAAACATCGTGAGCTGCGTCTTTCAACGGAAATTAACACCTGTTTGGTTCCTCGAGCACCCAATGGATAACCAAATTTTTCTAAGCGATGGTGTGCGCATTCAAAAGGTCTCTCAAAACAAAGTAACTCCCACTTCAGGTTTACATGCTGACTGCCTTAAAAAGCTCATGCGTTTATGAGGATAGGGAACAAAATGGAAGGTAGCTCATTCTGTTTACTTCATTCATCTCACCCCAAAGGGAACAAAATCGGGCAGCAACAAAAATGACAGTTACACAAGTACAGTGATGTTGAGTCCACTAGGACCAAAGAGGACAAAGACCAAGTTAGACGCCCACTTGTTCCATATCCCTCCACAAGATCCCAAAACACCGGACTAATCTAAATAGAAACGACCGACTTCTACTAATGCTGACCGTAATGAAGCGTCACTGAACCAGAGTGAATTGTGGCAGCTGCGTGGCGTCCTCTAAAGTGATGTCAAAGCCATGTTGCCGTCGTCTCCACTACGCCCGTTGAAGTAAAGGCTGATGCGCAGCCAAACAAATCGCCATGGTAAACCACATTCCCCCATCTATCAGCGTAGACAAGCTACGGTTAAGGACCTAGGACACAAACTCCAAATCATTCCATGATCACGTCGAAGGCATAGCACATGCGAGAGCTTACAGGGCGACAGTAGTGCACGAGGCTCCAACCAAGCCAAATAATTGCATTAAAAAATGTAGAGGCAACAAGAAAATAACCACAGAGGTCAAACCTCATCACTGTTAATATTGCGGTAAGGCTAGAAGCTTCTATCTCAAAACAAACCTAGATGTGACTCCAAACTTTACTGAATACCACAATGTGCGTAATATCTTTATTTTAACAGCAAATACAGAAGAACGTGAGAAAATGCCGTCATGGTCGAGGATTTTGCGATGGTTTAACAAAGCGTACACGGAACTAGACATCTAAGAAGCACCTTGGAAACGTTAGCATTGAAAAGATGAAGAACGTAGTGGGAATCAGCAGTGATAAAGTAAAAATAGACCAAACAAGGTTTTGTGCACAAAACAATTTTAGCTCAATTTTCTTTCAAACCCAGCCCCAACGCACTGAAGAAAGAGAGCAACGACTGTCAATTAAAATAACAATGGAGAAGAATCAAAGGGAAAGGCTCACCCAAATAAGGCAATCGTACTAGCTAAGCGTCAAGGCAGTAGAGTAATAAGCTGAGAATCCATTCAAACGCAAACTATAACAAAAACTAAGAGCTTTTAAAAGGCAATGTTGGTGAAAAAACTTAAGACCATAGTTTAATATGTGTTAGTGTTTAAGTTGACTTTTATAGGGCAAAACGGGAATCGAAAATTGGAACGCGGATCCCGTGCATGAGGACCGCGAGGAATCCCTCACCGAGTGATATCTGCTATGCGGCTCATCTGTACTCCTATCCCCGTTCTTCTTGTAGTCAACGCCTCATATTTCAACTGCAACTGACTCTCTCGTGAAGGCCGTGAGGGTAGGCAGGCAGCTCATACACTGATGACAGCGCCGGTCGACATCCTTCCTTTCAAATAAGGCACTGATTTCGATGACTGGCTTTTTTAAAAAGACAGAGCTTAAAATCTACGATCCTGCATGGGGAGTGTCATTGCTACTCCGCGCCTTGCTCGACGACCTACGTCGCGAAGCAATGAGTGCGGTTACCACGCTTTCCTCGAATATAGAAGACAGACAAATAACGTATGCAAGCAGAAAAGCCACATCTAATCAACATTGAGCAATTAATTTCAACGCCTCAATTTCTTAGCAGCATTGAGAGGTGCCACGATAAGGCAAAGCAAAAAATAGAACCGTGACAGCAAGAGCACTGTCATTAAAGCCTTGCTTAGCATCCACAAATTGCCACTTTAAAGGAGCTTTTAAGGAGCAGTAAAGCAAAACATGACAACGAAGACACAAGTCCTACAAAAAATCGAGCTTAAAAAGTCTCCATCCCTAACATGCCACAAACAACACTCGCAACAGCGCTGCATGCTTAAAGGTAACACCAAAACAGCTGCAAAACCCGCACCTGAATTTCCAACCACAGAGCCACAAAAAGCGTGAATGGAAAAAAAAAGTTGACTTCACCAATCACTCCCTACCTCAATCCGAGATGTACCTACACAAAACCGCAAAGTGATTCCCACAATTTAATGGCAGTTCAACAAATCACATTTAAAAAGGCATCGACCCACAACTGTCAGTTTGAGCTCTGCTGCTACCAGACGTTAGCCTCCTCCACTAAGCTACCACAGAAGACGGTGCACCATCACCATTCCTCTCCTGCATTATCACAAATGCAATGGCATAGCAGCACAATAAAATCCACAATAATTATTTAGTCACTCATTAACCAATCTATCAACCCGCTTATTCAACCACCACCTTTAACTGTCTCACCATTGAAAAATGCTCATTAAGATACAAATACTAACAATCTTAAAGGTACTAGTAAAAACTATTAATTCACCTTTCGGAGTCAAAAGCCACGTGTCTCGGTACCCGCACATATTGACAGTACACGCAAAAGACAGAATGCATAAGACCCTGTTGGCCTTTACCAAGTCGTAGCTTTATCCGTCTCCTTAACTCTTTTGATCCCAGGAGGGCCGGGAACCAGATCCAACCAGACCAGACCAGACCAGGTAGCACGAAATCAAGTCATGTTAAACAAGGTCGAGCGTCTGGTCGCCTCCAACAAGGCAAATGACAAGCAACACCATCCACAACTACGTGCAAATACTGATTATGTGCGACTCGAATAACAGCCCATTCGCCTTCTCTTTCTTTACTGCCGCCTCCAAATGCCACCATTAGCTTCGCTTAGTGCCCCTATCACTAACTAGTGCCTAACACAGGCACCGTGCAGCTGGCAAAACTAATCCAGCGCGCTACTATCAGCATCCTAACCATTCCAAACATCACAGCAGATGATGACGCACCCACCAGCATTGTTCAAAGCTGTGAAGGCTATTGTCAGGTTTGAGTTGTGCAGAAAAATTTCATGGGGCTCTTCCCGACCCTCAAAGACATTCTCTTAGTCTATAGGAGCTCCGCCAATCGCGTCCTTCAAAGCGCCTGCAGCAGCAAATCTCGCTCTGTTGTGGTCGCCGCAGCAGAGCTCGCTTTGACAGCCCCACTGACTCCTCCTTTGTGAAACAAGTCAGCTCCCTCCTGCCACATCTCACCCAGCCTCCCAACACCTCACAGTCCGCCACCATCGTAAGCAATGCAGCGGAAGCTAAGTGAATGTAGTTGCAACGAATGTAACTCCAATGCCAACCAACTTTTCGCAAATGGAATTGAAGTATGATTTGAGCGTTATGAGCATTTCCACTGTAGCGCCTCAACACTTCCATCTCGATGAAGAAAGGATTAATTTTGACTAAATGCATGCATTCTAGGAGAGTGAGAAGGAATTGGGCGTGCTCCGAGTACCAGCCCAAGGGCACTAAAACGGAGTACTGAACTCAATATCAACAGTCGGTTTAGCTTTGTTGGGCTATCCTTGAATTGTAATTTCATTGATTTTATTTAGGATCGATACTCCCATCTGTACCCGTTTTCGTGGGACGCGACACGAGTAGACGACAACTCTTGTGATTGCAACAGCTTACGGTATGGTCGGTATCCGTTTGTGGTACGCAATGCCTTTGGAACTTTCATGCTTTTCTTCCCACGAAGTCGACAATTTCATAGGACTATTTCTCCTCACGTTAAAATGGTGTTAGTGATGGTGAAGGGGACGATCTTGATGTGTAAAAACAACCTTTGCACACTCATGGACTCTGACTGTTTCCTTTCTTCAAAATGTGACAAAACTCTGCAATTTTGTGCGACAAACTATCCTCTACTTTCTTTTTTGAATCATTTATGCTGGCATAATTTAAGTTCTATCGATAAATATGCTACAGCAAAACATACGTGCCCTTGATATGACCTCCAATTTGCGGTTTTTCGTGTTCGATGCAAAACTCTGCTCGTATTATTACAGCCTTGATTTATCCATGCACAACTTTCCCAAGGACGTGCACTCCGGATCCCACGTGGTAGATCGACAACTTTTACAAATGATTTATTTTTTGCCCACAGTCGTATAGTGTCAGAATCGTCTGAATAATGGCGACCGTCACATTCTGTCAACTGCATTCCTTCCTTTGCATGGCACATTTAGATGACTTTTAAATAGCATGCGCTATCCGCACTAAAATAATGCTTTATACTTCTTTAACAGTAAAAGAACAGAGCAATCCTTAACCTCCAAGACAAGAGCCCATTGCATGTCCGTTGATGCTTGACCCTTACTCCATCACTGCTATTTCCTAAACCTATGACCAAACCGATCCGCCCAAAGTCGGTTGAAGTTACCAGCTAAAAATAGGTATAGGCGTTCCTCTGCTTTCTAAACGGGTGACCTAGCCTGAGAACACTGGGGAAACGCCTACAACAAAAGGTTGGTAACACCGCCGAACATGTGCATTTGAAATATTACCACTAAAAGGACGACACTCACTCCAAAGCACAAAGCTTCACCCGCAGACAAGTCGGCAGAGATGAACCAACTCGGCGAGTAAGAGACCACTTGATTTGTACAGCATTTCATCTCGTACAATTGTTCAACAACTGACAGCCTGACAGACCAGAAGCAGACACTCTCCACCCGCCTCTTAGCGGTAATTCAATGAAAGAATAAAATATGCCTGAATCTAAATAGAGGAATTGTGTACAGAAGTCGTTCTCAACATCAGAGACCGGAAAGTATGCTGCATGATAGATCTAAGCCATAAAAGTAAATACAAACAAAGAGAGTTCGGGCGAGGAGGAGAAAACTTTCAAGAAAACCCCGTTCATTGCGCTTAAGGAGAAGCAACAGGAGCAGTGATGGTGCTGTAGAAATCAGACAGCTGAGCAGAGATATCAGCCTGTGAGACCTCGCCAAAGTGCTCCGGTTGCTGTCGCATGACCTCCAAGATCGCAGCCAATTGATCGCATCGAGCCCGTATTTCAGCTTCACGCTCTTTAGCAGTGAGCTCCGCCATTTGCTGCACTTCATGCAGCTGCTTCACGCGCGACGGAAGGTGGTTCAACAGTTCGCCCCGCTTGACTGGAAAAGAGCGTAGGGCAATAACAAAGTTTGGATAAAAATTGAATCCCGAATCCGTCCCGAATCATGCTGAATCAGACATAAGCAACACCATCGAGGGATATAAAAAAGAAACTATCATAAAGGCCTTAAACCGACCATAACACCATATGAACATCGTTTGAGCGAAATGTAGATGCGAGAGTTAAGATCAAATTGAGGGTGGAAACTACCTTACGAACAAATGATTCGCTAGAATCGACATCAAGCAAAATATAGGTGCAAGGCGTTTCCAGAGCCTTTGGTTTGGAGGGAAAAGTGGATTGTAAGTATTACAGTGCACCAGTGTTCCAAGATTAACACAACCAGTAAAGTAAATAAGCCCAAAGTGTGCATTTCTGCTGAACTAGTACAAATTCAGCGAAACCGACTTTCAGTCATGCAGATGAGAAAACGATTATGGTAATGGATTAACAAGAAACCAAAATGTCATCCCAACTCGAATGAAAAGAAGCCAACAACAGATTTAGGAATTTGAAATGGTAAAAATAGGTAGAACGCACAATTCTTTGTTTTTGAAGGCACCGAAGTTAGTTTACTTTTTCGAATCGAAGCATTTGGTGACCCACCACTGTGGAATGACGTTTCTCGTTGGGGAGCGACACCACGCTTCAGAAGATATCGAGAAGCAATCATACCGCAGATTCCAACAAAAATAGTCAGACCCGCATAAATAGCAAAGGATGCCTCAAACTGGGACGCCTCCATAATTGACACAAAGCTAGAACTAGGAGCAAAATGCATATTACAAAAAAACCAATCAAAAGGAGGTGATTTATGAATGGATTGAGGAGTCAAGACTAAAACTATCTTAGCTAAAAAGCGGGTGGCAGGCTGTTGCAATTAAGACCACTAAGTACAGAATCGTTCCATTGACACTAAGACAACAAAAGGTTAGCAACAAGATTTGTACTGGGCACGCTTAACCCGACGGTCCAAATGTATGCCGATATGAAGCTAAACAGCGTTTATTCACATTATTTTAGGTGTCACCATTTTAAGCCTATGCTATTACTTTTGATGTTGTTTAATTTCTATAATTGTTTAAGACATTTATAATAGCAGCGACATTTCGAATGTGTTTACCATATTCGGCGTAGGTTGTCGTTCTCGGACGGCATTGCTAACCTGCTAGCGTGCTAGGTAATCAGACATTGCATTTTTACGGCTACTACTTCATATGAACAAAAAGTTGTCAAATAAAGTAAATTGCTTGCCCATCTTGCTTTTCTACTTTTTGCACTTTCCATTCATTAGTGCTGTAATGCAACCCATCTCCACTTGAATGCAAGTTTGAAGGTATTTACGTAGCATGGCTCGAAATCAAGGAGCAATTTTGAACCTCCTGCAATGGCAAAATCAACCTACATCTTCTAGCGTGAGATACAACCGTCGATTCACCTCTGGTGATCCTCATTTTAAGTCTACCGATTGTAAAATTGGACACATATCTTACACATATTTGATAAATTTTTCAGTTGAAAGGAATTTCGTTCGGGAGAACATTCAGAGAGTTCGAATGCCAAAGATAAGCCCAATTGCTGTAACTCCATCTTCTCATATTTCTGACTCGATCAATGCGGGAACCGGCACTGTTGATATGTACCTGGGTGCTGTTGATCGTGATCAGAGTTCGGAGGATATGAAGAATTATTGTGAAGTGAGTGTTCGTAAAAACCAACTTTTAGTTGCGAATTTCCTCGGCGCGCTGTTGACACACATCTGATTATTTGACTTTGGTTTTTCATTACTCTAGTGCAAACCGTTTTTTTCAAACAATGAATCAATAAGCCGCTTAGGTCTCTTCGTGATTGGTCGAAAAACCATTTTAATGGTCCTTTAACATTGCAACTATATGCCACAAATCTCATACCACTTAAAACTGAAATGTGGTTGCAGCTTCTCCGCCAAAGGCTATACAAGTGACCTTTTGTTGCTCTTTGGTCCGTTTTTATTGTATTAGTTGTAACAGGTTAATCCGAATACACAATTTTCAATGTTCTTCGAAAATGGGAAGCTTTACAAGTGTTTCAATGAATAAACGTCTTAAAAGCTTCAGCTCTTGTATTTGTGGCAACATCTTGATGTGTGATAGCACAGGTCGCAGTCTTCTAAATGCACCTACCTAAGGACCTGCAAGCGGTCATCGGTCACCACAAAGAACAGCATGAATTTTTCTTTTAGAATGGCAACCAATTCAATCAACAGAAGAAACCCCTCACCTCCGATATAGGCACTCAAACTGAGTTGCAGAACGACAAAACCGTGAATTGCCGCTTCCATAAAAGTCCACCGAAACGTAGTGGATTCTTGAGAGCTCACGAAAAAACCGGTCAGTTGAACGCAATGATGAGCCTCAGTGAAATTCCAGTCAAGAAACTGATTCGAACACCTCAACTCACAAGAATTAGCGTACCCAGGGCCTCCTCTGCCAAAGATGTATGCATAGTTTCCGTAAAGTCGCACATTCATAGGCTGCCAAACGTTATCCTTTTTGTCCCTTCCATCATAGGTCAAATTTACTCGAAGGAATCTTAACTATGTACGTGCTAATGCGAATGCTGTATCCAACGGTTGCGTGGTAGATCGACGATCTACCAACAGGCAATCCATGCATCCTCCAAGCGCACAGTCAAGAAGTTTTGGGAGATTACCACCTTAGTAAGATTAACTTGCATAAATGTCTCCTGCCATTCTTCAATACAATTAGTCTATCTGATCTATCACTAGTCTCTTACAACGCAGAATATACCGAGAGAGAAAGGCAGCAGCCGGAACGGGGACTGAAGAAAGAAGCGCAACGCCTAAAGGTTACAGAAGAGTGTCAGAAAAAGAAAGAGAAGACACACTGCACTCCCTTGAAGAGGGTATGTGAGCTTACATCCCGCATACTCATTCGATGGCAATGTTTAATAAAAAAAACCGAGTAGGCGGCGAAGCGGAGTACGGCGAAAGTAAGCTCATCTTTACTTTAGCATACGCCAAAACTTTGGACGAAATTACTCGTGCTCCAACTCATATACCTACGACTTGTAATAAAGATCTTCGAGCACAACAAGAAGATCGTCTATCTGATCTCAAAGAGGTGATTCGTGCCTTCCGCAAGCCTGTTGTTTTCATAACGCTTGATTAAAAATAAAAGCGGTTCCAGATTTATTTACTGGCTTTTACTCCAGTCTGATTACAAGTTTACCGTTGTTGCCGCCACCAGAAAGTTTTTGAAACGCCGCTGGAACCTGGTCGAAGGAGTACACTTTTTCGACGGGAACGTGAAGTTGACCCTGAACAAGCCAATTAGCGAGTGCTTCCAGTCTTTTTCTACTGGGTGCAAAGAAGGCCCAACGAATGGGAGCGTTTTTGTGTTCAGAAAGTAAGGTATACAGATTGGCGTAAGCCAGAGAAGTTAATGAAGCACCAATACCAATAAAAAGGCCAAGTTCGTCAATAAACTGGAGGACTGGTGGATTAACACTAACGTAGCGCGAGGCGGATGAGGAAGATTCAAGGTTTCGTATGAATGGGTAATATTTCTGAATTTCATATTGCCTCGAAGTTGGACACTTTGAGACACCACGAGCCATAACAAGAACGTTTGGTCTAACACGATCGATTATGGCGTCATACTTAGCATCTATGCGGGACATTTCTGGAGCCAGAATAACCTATGAGGAAAGTTTGTGAATACGAATGAGAAAAGAAGACAATAAACACCTACCTCGTCCACACTTAGTAAACCTTTTAAAACTGTTGGATTTATACGTGATGGAGCAGTGACAGTAACATGAGATGCTCCTGAAAGCCTCGCCAATTGAGCAGATATTGCACCGACAGGTCCCGATGCTCCAGTGACAAGAACTCGTTTGGGAGCACTAGAACGATTCTTAAAGGGGTCCATTCCAGCTTTACAAACAGCTTCCCAGGCTGTAAGACCAGCATAGCTAACAGAGGCAGCAAGAATAGGATCTAACTTGTCTGGACGCCTTGCAACAACTTCAGCAGGGCAAAGGATGTAGTCAGATAGACAACCACCTCCAAGACTGCTAGTATGCGGGCTTGTAGCGCCCATCACAGGAGTTCCAGGAAGGAAAGGAGTGGGAGCCGCATGAGGGCCATAATCAACCACAACACCTGCGAAATCGCGTCCAGGGGTGAAAGGAAATTCATCAGTCTGACCGGAAAAGAGACGTCGATACATTCGGAAGACAGTATTGCCATAGCCCGTGAGCATCAGAGTGTCGATAGGGTTGAGGGAAACCGCTTGAGGACGAATCAATAGGTCGCCGGCGTTTTTTATTGGCGGTGGACGACGGGTATGGGTCATTCTGAGCTCATTCTCTAGAGCGCCCTTAAGCGAGCCGTTAAAGTGGTATACTTCCCAAGCCCGGGATTCTGTTGAGATGGCAATATCTTGATGGTGATTGAATCGACAGAAGTGATTCAAGACACATCGGAATGCTGGTTAAAGAAAAACACAAGGCAAGTTCTTATATTTTGTTGAATACCCATCACTACAATGAAAGTAACTGGAGGTGGAGTTAAACATGAAGGAACACAACTAGCAAACACTAAAACCTCCTGCGTTTAAGCTTTAAGGATGTACCCCTAGATCGCACAGCCATCTGCGACTTGAATGACCTTGAATACTCCTCGTTAAAGTGCAATAAACAATATTAACTATTTTTTTTGTAATCTTAACTGTAGCCATGCCCGTAAAGTATCAACTTCGTTAACTTAATTACTACAATGTTGCTAGCAAGTATATTTGCACAAGGCAAAGGTCACTCCGTATTAACGAAATGGAGCAAATTTTTGGGATTCCGATTTTGCCCTAATGATAATTTTACATCTTTGACTATAGAGTACATAATTAATAATAAGATTGCATAATAATTGTAGGCACTCGAGACTTCCCACCGGATGAAAGAGGGTAGTAAATGAAGACGTACACATGCATTCCAAGGAGAGCAAAACAACGGGGTCTGAGCAGGACTCTAAGGCCAGCCCACGCGTGCAAGGGCTAGACAAACCTTAAAGCAACGACTGAATGTCAAGTAGCCATATAAATAAAGCATTACGCTGCCCTCTCTTCTTTTGAGAGACGTCCTCGGCGCTCCCCTTGACACACCTCCTGCACTAACCATCACAACATATTCGGTACCCACGAGCCAACTGCGCAAGTCGACGGACAACACGAGAGCGAGGAACCGTACCTGGTCTCCTCGGCAGCCTCAACTAGATCTGGAGTTACGTTCGGTCTGACAGCCAGATTCGGGACCGCACACACCTGTTCACCAACAATTCCTTCCAGGAATAGACGGTGGAACTCTGGTCTAAAACATACATTTTACAGGGAAACGAGATGAGTCACTGTCCTATATGTAAGGAGAACTGTAGTGTCATTTCCGACACATATGCACGGATTTAGTATGGGAAATTCTGACACGAAACTTTTCCAGATGGTTCACGGTGGCGTCGCCTTAGATGTTAGTAGCTTGTCTGTGGAACGCAGAACTAAGGTGAAACCAAATGCAGACCTCAGTCTCGACCCTTTGGTTGTGAGAGTTTCAGAGAATATTTATCACCGATGCAAATGCATCTCTTCCACATCGTAGACACATGCAACAAACGGTACGTATTAGAATGAAAGTCGTTGAAATAGTTTGAGTTTTCCACCAGTGTAGGATCCCGAGACTTCCCATAGGGTGGAAGAAGGCAGTAAGTGAAACTGTATACATGTATTCCAGGTAGGACAAAGCAACGGGGCCTAAGCAAGACCTGAAGGCCAGCTCACGAGTACAAGGACCAGACAAATTTTAAAGCGACCGCTAAACGTCAGGTAGACTCATAAGCAAAGGACTACAGTAAACTATACATTTTTTTCAAATTGATTGATGCTGATTGAAGAGAAGGAGAGAGAAGGAAGGAGCGTTTTCGGGCTCCTTTAAATACAAAAAGTATGGTGCGAAGTATACTGGGATCGGAAATTTTGTCATGACCCGATATAGAGCTCGCCCTGACAAGTCAACTTGGCCCTCTAAATGATGACAATCCTTAGCTAAGAAAAGAGAGTATTATAAAAGTATACGGTGGAAAATTTTAATGCCTGCACATATTTGGTAGGTCACTGTAATAAAGTCAGGAAAAAAAATAAGTTGCACTGCTCAGGCTTTTAATAGCATCATTGGCAACAAATCTCACCGGAATCTCAGTCAACATCCCTTAAAGCATCTTTTAAATGTGGTAGCGATGCTTCCTCGTTTTGCCTTTTTCGTTTTGAAGCAAATTATCTGCACCATTTAAGACCTTCGATTCCTTTCGCACGAGTGTATAGAATGTGCGCTTATATATGGTCCCACCTTACTGACTCTCATTATCTACTTAAGGTATCCAAGGTATTGGTGCATTTACCTCACTGCGTTTTGAGTGGTTGTTGGAGGTGATTAATTAGGTTGATGAAGGAGGATCCTCGAAAGCATTTCGGTACAATCTAGCAATTTTTGTTTACCATCTAGTTGAGTTACCGGCCGTATCTCTTCAGTTTGTAAGCCAATTCTTTGCTGTCGATTTGTGGATTTCACTAAAAATTCTTGCACCATTTGGCGCAAGTGAAAACTATGCCTACCGCACTGTGTCAAAGTGGATTCCAAATGCACTAGTCAAAACGAGAGTGTGCGCCACTTCCACCTCCAGATGATAATGACTTTATAAATCCAATGAACAGGACAATTTGACCAGTATAATACCTGTGATCAAGTTGGGCAAGTGTTGTAATCCTTTCATTTGGAAACGATTAACAAAATTCTGGTTGGCTTTTTTTTGTTTTAACGATTTTCCACTGAAAACCTTCGTTGCGGACTGATAGTGTCACGAGTAGAATCGGGTTAAAATCCATTTCTCGTTTGTACGCATCCATAAATAAGATACTTATCAAGCTACCTTAAAGGAATAAAAGAAATGCTCTGTTTTGATAGGACTTTGGATGGATCACTACCACATTTAGTGTGGGCGGAGGACATGGATGGTGGCTCGGTGACAGAATGGGACTTAAATGCGCAGTTTTAGTGATTCTCACGGAATCAAGCTGCTTCGGTGATGCATGTTCACAGAACAAAGTGTGCACCTTCTTTTTTCTTAATCTCACATGTTAGTGTGGTGGTTTGAGCGATTGTAGTGCTGAGCATTCACCATGTAGTGGGTTTATGACCAAAAGTGACCAGTTTGTTTCATGATCGCCCTCTAAACTTTCACAATAATTGTTTTGACAACTGACTGATATACGTGACGCTTGTAACACCGAAGTAGGGATTGTCAAGTCAAGATGGAGCGGAGTCCATACTGCCAAGATTTGGTAAGATTTATGTACCAGATCTACTACCACGGGAGTTCGTATTAAAAGTACAGACCTATTAGTAGAGCTAGATGGTGAACTCCTGGTTGATGTCTCACGCTTAATCAATCAAAAAGTGAACGGTTTAATCAAACATTCATTAAGGCTTAACTTTATGTTTTTTATTGGACTTAAACAATAGATAAGTTGAGAAATTTCTTGCCGTGCCATACTATTTAAGTCAATCAAAAACGCGCTTTGACATCTTTAAGCTGCGTAACTTGGTGTTTTAAAATGGGTCAGCAAAAAAGTGTCTTTGCTACCGTTTACGAAACATATTTCAAAGACTCTTTTGGCTTAGTTTTAGGATTTTTTTAATGAATGAATAAAATAAAAAATTGAAATACTCCCAACACGGGTCATTTTGAAGCAAAATCTCTCCGAATTGGATCCAAGTCCACGATGGAGGTGGCAAAACTCTTGTGTAGCTGAGAGAAGTTGGCGTGTTACGATCAGCACTCGATTAACTCGGCCGAGCATAAAGGAAAATCGATTAAACTGATCGACTTTTAAGGCCATATGTTTTCTGTGGCAAAATCGATCAAACCGATACTTTTGTCGTTTACTTTGAACCAATAGAAAGACTTGTGATTGTGGCGGATAAATACACTTCGCTGAACAAAAAATTCACGAGCAAAAAATGTTGATGTAAGGCTAAATGAAAGGGAAGACTAAGTTTGACACACACGCACTCATTGGAGTGAATAATTAATTGTTCCTTGGTTTACCAACTAATTCGATATAAATTACGTGATTACTCCCCACGTATGCAAATGAGTCAGCAAGAGCAGTTACATTGTGCCAGGTTATTTGAGGAATTCTTAAGCACGCGTGGTAGGCTTGGCACGGGGTTCCCAGGCTTTCTGCTGCGGTGGCCTTGAGGTTGGACCAACGAGAAGGGAGTTATGATTGCATAATTCGCCATCACATACATACACGTGGAAATCCTACAGCTAATGAAAAGTAGTAGTTGAACAGAAGACAAAGAGGAGGCTTTGACCTATCAAAGCAGCGCCAGAACGCGCCCCCGCACAGCATATAAGAGTCCTCAGCTTGGCTTCACAACTGCAAATGGTCACAGTTGTAAAATACCCGCAGACAACTAAACAGAACGTTGGGAAAAATGATAGCAGCATTTGTATTATTTATATTCCTCACTCCTTTTGTATGCATTTCGGATGCCGGTAGGGCTGCCAAATGCCCACCAATTTCAAACTCGAATGAGATTCGTCAGTACTTATCCACCTCCCCCATTGTTTTACATGCTCGGCTTCAAGAGATGATTTTACTAAGAAACGCTGAAGACTTTGATGTGGTAGTTCTAATCACTCAAGTCCTGACCAAGCCTGCAGGCGTTAGTATACCCCCACGAGCGGTGCTTCGGCGTTTCTTTGTACCTTCAAACAAATCATCTTCCTTGTCTTCATCCGGATCGTCATTTAATTCGTTCCACCAAAAATTCGGCTGTTTGGAGTCCTTTAAACCGAATGCAAAGTACACCTTCTTGTTGGCGGATACAGGGGAAACGCTGCTTCATCGTGGAATTAGGTTGCCTGTCTTCGCTCTTTCTGGACCCTCGTTGACCTTCAGCGAAAAGGTGACTGCCGAAATCCTACAATATCTTTGTAAAACATGCTGTAAGCACTCTTAATTTCCTGTTTATGAGTATGTTTTGCAATCACTGCATAAAATTAGGCAAAAAATGGGTCAAAATATTTACCAACTTACATTCTTGCCTCAATAATGTGTTCAGATGCAGTGAAATTTTTTTTGCAAAACAAAGTTGTGTCACTGCTCACAAGCGTGCTTCTGATGCATGCGAAACTGCAGTTGTGTGTGTGTGTGTGTGTGTAAACTTTGATTTTAGTTTGCTCGAAGGAGTGTGTAAAAAGGCTGTGGTGCTCAAATTTAAGCCATCTTTAATTGATCAGACAGTAGATTCTACGAAAGGTCACTTTGAAGGGAGAGGGAGCGAGAGAAAGAGCCGCTGTTTACTTTCTCTTCGTGTGAGAGTTAAATCCGGTCTCACGCCATAGAGCCACATCTGTAGGTGTGCAAGACGTCGCGTACTCCTCTTGAAAGGAAGGAGGAACAACCACCCCATCTCGCTCGAAGGCTTCGTTGTAACATTTACATTAGAATGCTAAAGTGCTGAGTTAATAAGTTTGCAAGTATAACCAATAGTCGTTAGGAGATTAAAACATTTCTAATCCTTTTTCCACAGCAACATTTGTGTGATCAGGTGCAAAGATTTTTTGGAGATTTAAGTTATCAAATTGCCGAACGGTCGGTTCTGTGTGCTATAGACGCCCCACAAATGAATAAATTTGAGCTCCAAACTCTTCCCTTCGGCGAGAACTTCAACGCAACGTGTGTGGCGGATGGGGATCCGCTGCCACAGGTCATGTGGTACAAAGACAATTACCCCGTTGACATCGCCACGAATGGTCGCAATGTCAGAGTGGAAGTCGTTCAGTGAGTCCACTGCTCCATCATTTCTATGTTTCTTACCATGAAGAAGTAAACTCGAAGACACCTTTTATCCTGTCATGTGCTGGTAATGCTGACACGAAGCCTTACCAGTTCTTCCATTTTGCCTCTTGGGCTGTATTTAGGCTTGGTGGGTGGAAGAGCTGTGGACGCGGGTCCTCTCGCACCGTGTCAACAGTAAAATGCACCGCACAAACCTGATTTTTACCAATCGCTGATCACTTCCTTTTCACATTTTTGCTCTCCAAATCAATTTTGTACGGCAGGTCCTCGCAAAACGTTTGCCTCTACGAGGCGAGTTGGCACATTTAGACACAAACTTGACCTCCACGTCGTTGCATGTGCGCTACCATCATCATCTAGGCAAAAAAAAAACATTAATTCAAAATCGAAATTTTTTTACGGATTGAATGTAAATGATGAGAAATGTGGTGTAATTATGTGGCGTCTGGAAGCTTCCTCGCCTCGCCACAGTGGTGGGGGACCCAAGTTGCGGTGTGGGAGGCCGTAATGCACGCAAAAGTATGGGAAAGGTGGGAGGCTAATGGCAAGAACTGCAAGCAATCCTGACATCGGAATCCCTCCCTTCAACCGCCCAACTGTCTAAACAAACAGTGTCCAGTCATCGCACCACTTTTCCCAAAGGAGTTGGCGCAAATTCACATGCTGTGGTTCATCACCTCTGCGACCTGCTCCTCCACTACTTCCACTCAAAGCCTTAAGAAATGCCAATGCATTTTAACTCGCCTACTGAAAGTATTTGATGCCATTTTGTCACATAAATATGCTCACTTTCGGCTGCATTTTTTTGAACGTTGCATTGCAGAGTTAACAATCATGTTCGAGAAGCAATCCTGGAAATAGATAATCTCGTTCTCTTGGACAATGGCGATTACATTTGCAGAGCGAAAAACCCTCTTGGCACCACACAATCACTTCTCCAGCTACGAGGTTTGGTGTTTCTGCTGAAATTTTATTTTACAATCATTTAAAAGGATGACAGTTTTATCCCCCCTTTTATTCTGTTATATGCTCCAACCTCTTCATCCGCACATGTTTATCCGCCTTTATTTTCTCTCTCCTTTCTCCTCCTCCTCCTCCTTCTCTTCCTCCTCCTCCGCTTTCTGCAGTGACAACGGCTGGCGTTTCGCTGACCGACCAGGAGCTTGCCATGGGTAAGTCATTGTGCCTCTCCTTCTCTTTCTCCCCATTAATGCCTTCTTAGAAGGCCTTCGGGAGTCCTGTATCAGCAGGTTTAACTCCACTTCGTGCTCTTCCGAACGTTGAGATGGTCCCACGCCATTCTGGTTCCCCTCACCCCAGTCGCCATGAGTCGGCACCATAAGTTTTAGTGTAAAGTCGTTGAAAAAGGCAACATGAAGCCCACAGGGAACGTGGGAACTCGGAGAGCTCTAACCCCTGCTGTGAGCCTCCGATGGCATGCTGGATTGAAGTCCACAAGACGTCAATCCAAAAGGTCCTCATTGCAACAAAGACTTCCCTTTAAAATAAACTCATAAAAGATACACGATTGTTTAACTTTTGAGGCTAACCTTCATCCTCACAGGCCTCTACCTTTAAACGCAGAGTCCAGAGATTTGGAGCCCTGTTCAGTGGAAGAAAATCACTGCTTCAATGATGGCGAGTGCTTTGCCAAGAAGTCGAATCCACTGGATCGTAGATGCAAGTAATCTACAAGTTAAAATAAAATTTTATCAAAAAATGGGCAAAACTAATTGTCTTTCAAGGTGCTAAGTTGCCTTATGTTCCGCGCTTATAGGTGCAAAGACGGTTTCATGGGCGATCAGTGCCAATTTCGAACCAGTGGAATCGGTGAGATTTGGTGATGGTGCAACCCTTTGAAACAGTATAAAAAAGACCTCGAAAAAAAAAAACAAAAAAAAAAGAACAGCAATCCAAACCCAACATGTAAATTGTTTTTGTGTAGATGTTAGGGCGGAGGTTTTTTGCAGGCACCTCATTGACTCAGTGGAAAGAGGTTGTCTTTCCAAAACATCCTCTATGCCAACAATACTCTTTTTATTCATTAACTTTTTCATTTTGGAGGATTTCAACGTCAACTTTATTTCACTTTGGTGTGTTGTAGGCTGATGGAGGATTAGTGGAGTTGGGTCATTCTCAGGACCGACTCCTCTTGAGCACCCCCCGCCTTCCCCATAGTTAGGCTTAGGAGGACCCATTTCTTGATGTTTTCTCTCGACCTCTCTTCCCTCCCCTCAGCACAAAGTAAATGACGCCTTTGACCGCATCTTTTGTGTTTGGCTCCCTTTAAGACACCCTGCAAGCCGTTTGCTTTCAATTCATTGCATGCATAACTTCGTCCCTGCCTCTTGTGCCTCTGCCACAGAGGAAGCACTTTTCCCAAAATATGCAATCTCCAGCTCTCTTAATGGGACGGTTTTTATAAGAATTCTTCTTTTATTCCCAAAATAATGCTGTCCCAAAAGTTCAAGATCCTAAAGTGGGCAAGCAGTTTAACTAGGAAGCGATTTGCCCGCCTTTTAGAACTCTTTCTTCTCTGTCCCACTTTGTCCAGTCTTTTCGACGGTGTCCGCGGGAAGTGTGAACACCCTTTGGTTGCAAATACTCTTCCAATTCGTCTTCATCGCTCTCTTCGGACTGATCGTGGTTGGAATTATCCTTGTCTTTCGGCGCAAAGATCGACGTGCAAAGTGAGCGTCCTCCTTTCCTTTCAACCATTTCCCATGTTTCAGTTGGACTTTCGAATCTTTAAAAGTTCCTCCATTTTACCGCAAACGCAAGTTTTAGGCTATGGAAGACGAATGCTACTTTGGATTTCGTAATTTTATTACAGCAGTGAAGTGTTTGGTGATGGCGTTACAAGCAGAAAAAGCAGAGGCTCGCATGTTGTGACCCTTTTACGTTGTATGATCGGTCAGTTGGGGTTGCGAAAACATAATCCTCAAACAGGGCCAAGGTTTAAAGACGAGGGTGGCCCAAATGTCCCCACCCTCTGTCCTTTCGGCCGCCCTCCACCCAACTGGTGGGCTTTTTAGGAAGGTGGAAACCTTTGCTTCGAGGCAGTCGCCTTCCTTAATTATTCCCTAAGCATGTATTGTACACTTTCATCGTCTTCACGCACACACACACACACGCAAACCTCGCAATCTCCATGACAGAAGCTGCGCTCTCAGTCGTAGTCTTCTGTGACAAAAGCTTCGCCTGTTGTGGAACCCAGTGGCGGTCAGTGAGGGAGTGCTAATAACTAGGGCGTCAAATCAGAAAAGCATTTAACCAAACTACCATATGAAAGCCTAAATTTTCATCCATTTTGTGCAAAATTTCTTCACGAACTCACTTACATCAAATCCAAGGAATGAGCTTATTTTTTGTCTTCAAGTCTTCCTGCGACTGATGCCACACTCACTAAATTATTGCCAAAAGCATTGCAATCTAAAAGGATTTCATTACTTCCAGTAGAATTCCAAATAAACTTGTATCTGCTCTTTAAGGTGCAAAAAAACTAATTTTTGAGCTTTTAACCATACTTACAAATACAGACGACAAAAGACGTTTTTTAACATTCATGTGCGGTGAATGGAAATGAGCTGGCGAAGGCGCTATGGAAGGGGCAGGAGCTTGGCGAAGGCGGCGAACATCATTGACCCCACGTCTTCCACTCTCTTTTTGTTCAAACTATGGAGTCTCCACAAGATCACATGCAAATTAATCTTTTCAGAATGAATGCAAAATTGTGATCGCTTCGTTTAGTTGAAATCGTGGTCTGTCTTCACTTCCAACACTATTGGTATCACATGAGCGCATAAATCCTAACTCTATTCTACTTTGTCTACGTCGATAAAAAGTTAGAATTTGTTTGCTCTTGAGTCTGTGCATCATTTATCATAAGAATCATTCTAACGCGTTTTTTTTCTGCTAATCACTTACCCCTCTTCCTTTACATCTTAGACAAAAGCGCAAAATAATGCGTGGGAATGAGGTTCTCCTCAAGTCACAGGTAAGGCATAAGGTGCAAGCTAAAAGCTGTTTTTCAAATGTTAAATAAGAAATGGGAAGTAATTACGAATGCTCAACGGTATTTCAGTATGTTCAAGTGAACACCTTTGAACCGCCCCCACCACCGATCAATTCGTCCCTTTCCACAAACCGACAGCCTCACTACCAGAAGGCCAACTTTTTCACCTCTGCGATGCCACAAACACCGAACTATGCACGCCTCGCCACTAATGAATTCAACCTTGACGTCTACAGCGACATGAGTAAGTGCACGTGTCGCTTTCATGGCACACTTCCTGAATTTTCGACCAATGAAATTAAAGCCAGCAATGCGAAATGAGCCAATCGAATTAAGGCAAGGGAAAAGTCGGTTACGAGATTCCTTCTTATCAATGAGTGTCTGTGATTGGAAATGATCTTACGGTATTAGTAACACAGAATTAATGGAAGGTTGTAAAAATGGGCAAGGAATCCTGTCACCATGGTAAGGACCAGTATTAGAAAGGACATAAAGGTTCGATCAGCACTCTTTTAATCGAACGGCTACATTTCTATCTTTGAGAGTCGTAAATGGAATTTCTCCTTAGATTACTCTTTCTCTTCAATTGTTGTGAGTCTGTGAGGAGTGAAATGAATTTGCGGACTCCTCTTTATAGGCGTTGCGACCACTGAAAGGCAAAGCGATCTGAGGAGAGGCTCTTTCAGAACGAAAAGCATATACCTTGGCAACCTGACGTCAAAAGCATCGAGATAAAAACTCAATGAAGTGTAAGACTAAGAAACAAAAAACTCTAGACTAGCCCTAGAAAATTTAAAATTAGGGTTTTTGACATGAGTAATCGAGGCTTCAAAAACTACTCTTCCTCAGTAAAATGCTGGCGATGACATATCACTATGCCGCGTAAAAGTGGCATTAAGAACTGATGGACTAGACGTATTAAACACTGCTACTGATTTAGCATCTCGAGTCCACCTTGATCGTCTGGCTGCAATTGTCTCCATGCCGTAAGGTCAACCACTAGTTCATCTGGGAAATGCGCTGTTAGCGAAATGGATGGGTGGCGTCAGATACTATTAAAGGATCCAGGCCTTGGCTTAGAAATCGAAAAAAATGTATTGGGAGATTTTTGATTAGATCACGGCTACTATGAGTACGCCTAGGTGCTTGAGCATTGCGGTGTCATGGATTTCTTCCAAGGAGGCCTCGGATTCCCGAGTCCTTCCACTATTACTACTAAAAGTCAACAGGAAGCATTGTCTCATTGTGGTACGCTAACATTTTAAAAAAGCGTCTTTCTTAAGGAAACGAAAAATCCCTTGAAGGGTCAACGACTCCGGATCGTCCGCGACTTGCAGCAATGCAACAGCCACAGCTCGTTAATCTCTCCAGAAGCCCGCTAGAACCAATCGAAGAGCAGGACATTGACGTGTCAAGCAACTTCCTCTCTCCCACTCGGGAGAATCCCAACTTCTTGTAGCCATTTCCATTTTTACTTACTCTCCGCTGATACACGCATTCATTGCTTTAATGTACTCCTACCATGCTTTTAAAAAAGCCCAAAATCAGCATTTTATCCTTGCATTAAGAAGGTGTCTAAGGTGATATGATTATGTAGATCAATCAAGTATTTTTATGTTATGGGAAATAAACTGTTCTTTTAATGGAAGCGATTCTTATTCATGCAAAGTGGAGGATGGAACACACCTCTACTGGGCAGGAAACATTCCAAGACTACCTATTTGTTACATGATGTGTGCAGAGCATTTTATTAGCTAGTGAAGCCAAAGATGCCTCAATGCACGAATCGGCCGTCACGGTTTAACCTACCATCTGGAAAAATGCTATTTCAGGCCCCACCTTATTTCCTTCCGTCACACTGTCTCCTGAGCGGCATCTTTAGGTTGGCGGAGGGGATGGCGAGTTTGAAGAGCGTTGAAGTGTGGGACTTCACCGATGTACACCACTGGAGAACTTGTGAGTCCAAAAAAAACAAGAAATGACCTCGGAGAGGTAGTTTAAAATTGCGTGAGATAACAGACTGTGTTACCCCTTTGACATTGAGCACAAATCGAAAGGCATCTTTTGGCACCGTGTATTCGCATTAGACGATATGCGATGCACAAGAGGACAGCATCCGCTTTCCTAATTCACCACTACTTCTATTTGCGTGCTGCCAAAGCATAAATAAAGTAGCTTGCAGACAGAAAAATCTAGCACTTCAGTGGAGCAACGTGGCTCTCCTTCTGGCGTGCGGTGACTGCCAACCGGAACGAGCACACTCCACTCCACTCCACTGCTCCCTTCCCTCAAATCCCCTAAGGCTCATTTAACTTAATACGATTTGAGCTGAAAAAAAACAAAATAGAAGCGCACTTTGACATCGGTTGATTCCAGCTGATTAGTGATCCACGCATTCTCCATCGATTTTTCAACAAATCAATAATGTGTTTAGGCAACAGCAACCCCTAAGAGAGCGATAGCAACTACTTATGATGCAAGTTGCGTGACTTCTTTGGCGTTGTCGTTGTCTACTTCTTATTTTCCCTCGTTTCAATTTACCAGTCTGTGACATGAATGAGATAGTTTTGGAAACTTTTTGCGCCAATGCAAAAATACTCGCAAGTAGCTGGAAGTGCACAACTGCATTCATTTTCAAAAAAATAAATAAATAACAGGAAAAAAGGAAATCACAGAACACAGTCACAATATGAATGCCAAATGGAACAGCATAAGCACGCACGTACACAGAGATTAAGGTAAGGTAAATGCACTAATCTGGCTTGGTTTGTCTCTGAAAGTAAGGAAGAAAAACATATTCGTGAGATATTTTTTAAAGTGGAAAACTCAATTTATGGACAAATGACGAGGCTATGGTTGACGCGATGGTGTCCATAAGCAATTTCTTTATCGAAAACGGCTAGGTGAAAAGACGGTCGGGAGGAGCGTTAACTTGTTGGCGGGAGGAGGCGCTGTGATTACCGCCTGCGAGATCAACACCGCTTGGAGGTACAGGTGGAATTGGTGGAGCTGGTGTGGTGCCAGATGGACTCACTGTTGAAGGTTTTTCCTTGATCGATGAGTAATCTGGATGTGTTCGCTAGTTCAAAAAAAGGATTTTTTTACTGCTATTTCGATTTCTGCAATGCATGTCGAATTCAAGTAGTGAAATGAGAAGTCACAAAGTGTCAAGTGCTCACAAAACGGATGAACAAGTTGGTAATGTATCAAAAAGCGTGAATTGTACCTACGAATCACAACTGTCAACAAAGAAAATGACAAACACTCAAATCAGAACTAGTAACCAACTTCAAAACTAAGTGGGATCTCTTTTTAAAAAAATTTATTTTTTTTAGGATTTGTGACCAATCCATGCTTCCTGATAATAAAGGCACCCCATTTTAACACTGTTACTCTCTCGTTCCAAATCAGGCATAGCAGACAACCAGCAGATGGCTAACATATTAAACGTCCATCCTGTGGAAATGAAAATAACACCTTAACTTCAATTAAGCCTTGAGTTTTTCGTGGTCAAACAAGCTAAGCACACAGCTCTTAATATGCTACAGAAAGACAATGCGGTTGACTCCGAATCTGCACAAAATCAAATATTTTTAAGTTAATTTACTACTTAAACAATAAAAGTAACAAAATATAAACCAAATAATACCTGTTCTGTATATTGCCTGTACGTAGGATGAAAGTTGTGAAGCGCATCTCGCAGCATGTCGCGAGGATTAAACGTATCTTTCAAGTTATGCAAGCCACTTGGATGGCCTAAATGACGGAGAAATGCTCAGTAAGACCAATAGCTTTGCATCCACACTTCCGGGCATTTTCGAGACCTACCAACGCTGATAACACTGTCCCCGTTCTTCCAAATATTTCCACCAATAAGTCCGCACTTCTCACCTGCTGACCCATTATCGGCATTGATATCATCACCCTCATCGACTTCGTCATATTGACGCCTGGTATTTACACCAACGGAGTAGAGAAGGTGTGGGAAGGCATAGCGTAGTGCTATCGCTGCCACGAGCATCTCGAAGCATATGAGAAAGTTTTGAATACCCGCAGCAACAGTACCGACATTAGTGTAAGGCAAGGCTGGTAAAATGGCCATCTTTTCCAAAATCGCTAGAATTACTCCTACAAAAGGGAACCATTTCATACACCTCATGAGTGCTCGGTTGCGGCTGACCAATGAATACCTTTTTCATAAATAAAATTTGCTTTTAGACTGTTGGCTTAAAGAACATAAGAAGGTATTCCTTACTGTTGTTGAAAGCTACAAGCATGCGAATGAGTTTTAAGCTTCATGGGGAGCACTCGAAAACTCAGTAGACAGTAACAAGGGGAGTAGAAGAGTTGGATTTATTTTGCATAAATTAGGTGCCTATCAATAATCGGAAAGTGTGTCCCTCCAACACTTTCAAGTCGACTGATACGATGGCTCTAACTGACCTTGCCAAAAACACAGGAACACGACAGACTTTACAATGCCAAATTTGAGGACTGGATCGAAGGGTCGAAGGATTGAACTCGTTGCCAGGTAAAACAAAACGAGGGCATAGAGTGCCAAAAAAGCCGAGACGTTGTAAATTATAGTTGTGTAGAAATAACCATTGGACCAGCTGCAGTGAAAAAGAAGGAAGTGGGATCCTTTCTATCAAACTGGCTCACCTCCAAACACCGTGCTTATAGACGCCGATGAGCTGCATGACAATAATAGCGACTGCCATTAGTGGTTTCACCAGACAAAATTGGAGCGTCGCCTTAAAAACATTTAAAAAATGCAATAAGTGCTTGTTAAAGACGAATTTATACGGAGTGCCTAGTTGAAATCATTCACCTGTTTACAAAACCGTAGGAAACCGATTGTGAAGACCTGACCGGAAAAACAACAGGTACAGAAGACCCAAGAGTAGCTAAAAAAAAGTCGGCTTACTACAAGAAGGTTAAGGCCTTAGAATCCTGTTCAAAGTAAACTGAGTAGAAGCAACAAAATTTATTTGCAAACAGGTTATTCCCTTTCATAATACCTTTAAAAATTTAGACGTTAAAAAAGCAACCATTAATTGAGGGCTTAAAGGATGTAAAAACAGCGCAGACATTTATTGCGTCGTAAAGCAAAAAATTGACTTCTGAACCTATTATAAGAAGGCAAAAGTTTCAAAGAACAATTTTTGGCGCAAATAAATGTCCGATACTTACAAATTAAATTTTTCCCTTTTATTTCAAACCACGACAAACCAACCGTTAAGCAGTGGGTCTTGGAAGCTGTGAAAGTATTTTAGAATTGTCTCTTCCTTTCCCAGCATAAATTAACAAATTTTTAAGGAATCTCGCAGAAAAATACTAAACTTCTAACATGAATAAGTCGGCGTGATTCCTAGCAGGAAGGCATTTTCTCATCAAAATTCTAACCCCTAACTTCGAAAACGGTGCATATATGCAAAAGTTAATGAAATGATTTTCATGTACATTGAAAAAAATTTATCACACTAACGGTATTTTCTTCCCGCGAATTTCCGCCATAATGCAACTTTCGCCACCCAGATATTCATAGCAGAGGCTGAGGAAACTGTATATTACGAAAGCTAAAGTAAGAAATTAAATAAGATGGATAAATTGGTAAGAGAGAAGGGAGACCCTGGATACTCAAAAATCAGACAGTGAGGAATCCCTTATCCCATAAATTCGAGCAATCTAAGTTTCTGCTCAGCGAAAGGATAAGAAATATCCCAGGGACGACTTCTATTGGTTGATTGATTTACTTTTATCCCTCTCTACACAAGCCAATCAGCGATTCAGGCACTCCCTTGCGGACGCAAATCCACAGCGCAACTGCGGAATGGGTATGAAAGGTAATCGCTCCATGTGATGCTCAATGCCACTGAGGTTGATCTTATTTGATTACGTCCTGACCAATGATCTACCACATTCCACTGTGAGCGAAATTGACGTGGTAGAAATCGCAACTTTGGAAGGAAGTCAAAGATAACAACGTAATAAAAGCACACAAATAGACAAAAATCTACTCCTTGCTATCTTGCTAACACAAACCATTAAATGTAGTCATTTGCTGTCGCAAAAATTTGATGAAGAGAAGAGCCTCATTAGGAGAAACTCCTAGCGTAAAATGTGGAGTAATATCCACCAGATTTTTTCCAAAATACAAAAAAGTAATACATTCCTGTGACTAAAATTCATTCACCTGTATAATTAGATCTGTGCTGAAAACCACGAAGGTAGTTACCATTTTTACATTTGCATTGCTGCTTCACATACTAATAAAAAAAAACCAAATCAACAGTTATTCTCTTGCTTAAGTGACAGTCAAGTTGGCTCATGAGGAGTACCCAAATACACTAGACCCAATTCAATTGTTGTACACACTTGCCTTCGTAGCAGTCCCGAATGGTGTCGAAATACACGTAGAAATCCTGATGTCTAAGGAACATAAGACTAAGCCATGATTGAAACGCATATAGCGGAACAAAAAAGAGAATTCGAACGATCCATCTTTGCTCATTTGGAGCTGTGTAATTAACGATATGGAGGTAAATCTAGAAGCGAATTTGCAAATATGCAGACAAAATTACTTGATGACAAGTGATGATAACAGCCAAAAATGCCACTGTACCAGCAAGTGCTCGAGCTACTTTGGTTTCCAAGAACAGGAAATCGTTCGATATAAAAGTTGTTGAATTGTGAATGATGACATTGTTAAGAGTTCCGATGCTCTCATTCAATAAGGTTTCCGTAACATTGACAGACATAGCTCCTTAAGTTACCCACTCCTAAAAATGTTTAAAATAGCTTCCATAACGTTAACGTGAATAGTGTGTAGCACACCCTATCCCAGGGCATTAAGTCTTAGCCAATACTGACCTTGATTTTAGAATGGGAGAAGTGTATAGTGTGTGTATTTAGTTAAATAAAACAATTCTGGCACGAATAATTATTTGTAAGTTACATAGACATGTAGATCTCTTTAACTTATAAAATCAGCATAAATCTAGGTGGACTTTAAAAGTATGCTATTGTATAGATATAGGGCTGCAAATGTGTTGACATGTTAGGTTTTAGAGTTGTTTAGCAAAAACAGCCTTTGAGTAGTCTAAGCATTGTTGCATGCAATATAGTCTTTTGCACTTTCTGATAGCTTACCTTTGGTAGTCAATGTCAAATGATGCTTTAATGCTTTAATGCTTTTAATGCTTTAATGAAGTAAGTCTATCAAAGTGATCATTAGTCATACAGAAAGCCAAATAACCAAGGTATTACATCGGCGTCCGAGACATCCCACAAGGCAGAAGGCTGGAATTAAAGCTGAATACATGTGTTTCAGAGAAAGCCTGTCGTCTTCGAAACACATGTATTTAACCTCACTTATGCCTTCTTCCACTCTATGGGAAGCCTCCGGACGCTACAGCCTTTAATACATGTATTCGGCTCCTATACAATGCCTTCTTAAACCTGGCGGAAAATAGCTTGGGTCTTCTAAAAGAGGGCTGTCTATTATGGTGCCTGAGTACGCATTTGCACGCCTCCAGGGTGGTGTTAGGATTTATGACATCCCAATATATATTGAACTGTATCGACTTCAGCATTCGATCGCTAACATGGCTCGGATACCATTGCAACGCCATGCAATGTGATTCGCTCTGGTCCTGTCCGCCAAAGCTCTTCCATTTTTAGCATAAGGAATAGAACCTAGTTCACTGCTTTCATTTTTAGAGGGGCTTCGAGGCAGCTCGAAGGTAATCTTCCCTGACGAAAGAACGAACAACGCTAACGGGAGTCGGTATTTGCTTGTTCCTTCGGCTACCTGTATGATTGGCAATCGACATGGTATTCGCGGTGTTTTAAGCCACATGAGTTAAAATTTAGATCAATTGAAGGTCCAGCTTTTTCCTCTACTCCCACTGTACAAGTGGTTAACTCTTCTTAATGGTTTCCCCTGCCTCGTGGAAATCTAGGGTCATTAAAATTCCCACAAATATGGGCAGCCGAAAAAACGAAGTAAAAAACGAAGTATTATAGTGACAGCAGGTATAGATTCTACTGTTTGGAGTACATTTAGAAGCGGTACTTTTGTTCCAAGATATTTGTTTTCGAAAGCAAAACTCATCATCTAGTAAGCTAAGGTAGCCTCTCGAGTATCTTTAAATTTACTACTAGACAACCACCTGTAAAGCTTGCTGAGGCTATTAACAACAACTTATGTTATGACCTGGTTTCCGGAACATCTCAGAAGTTTCGAATCCTAAGGCAAAGTGCCTTTCTTTGGTTTAGTATCTCCCTTCTCCAGCGCAATTTTTTCCATTAAGCCCAAGTATTTCCACGGTCCTTATTATAATTCAACATCCTCCTTTAACTTAGCTTTCATTCTTTAGGGTGAGACATGACTAGTTCACTCACGCAGAGTCCCAGGACATTGTTGTAAATAAATATATATATAGCACTTAGGCGGTGTTCTTAATTTTAAAACAGAGTGTGGGATTGGGACTTCAGACCAGCCCACCTGACCAAGGCATTGCGGGCCACCCGGGCGACCGCAACCGATACCGCCAGTCAAGTAGAGAGTATTTTGATTGGATGAAAATGGAGCACTTGTAAACAGAGTGACTTGAAGAATTGTCACAGAAACCAAAGGCTATAGTCGCAGAGTGGAAAACAGCTTCGGATAAATCAAAGTGCCTGCATGGTGTGAAATAACTAAATGTGGCACAGGACCATGATATCTGTGCGTGCATGTCGCTGCGTGAACAATTTGTTCTTTTGTTTGCATACAACTCCGAGATTATCACTCAAAGATCTAACCCAATTATTTGGTGGCCACTACTAACCAAGTGTTTTAAGAATAATGCTATGCTAACTGCGTTACATACCAACGTTAACACAACGGAATTACAAAGTTTAAAAGTCGTGCGTTTCACACAATTATGCAAATCGAATACTAAATTTGGGATTTTAAGCGCCTTTGCCATGGATTATGGCCATGCGATGGTTTGTTAAGGAAGACTATGCTTTAAAATAAAGGTTGTTACATCTCATGCTAGGGTCAGAAGACCACAGCTGCCCCCACTCAAATATTTGGGGAAGCACCAATCTCCTCCTTCTGTTAGAACTGATTTGTCTCATGTGCCTCAAAATGGTAACAAAGTTAGCTTCGTAACTTCCAAGGCGCCCAAGAGACGTGCTTTGACTTTGTGCTCCACATCTGCTGGACAGCACGGTCGACAGCCTCACATCACCAAAATCAGGAATTAACAAGCATATTGACGCCAGTTCTGATGAGCTCGCTATCAATCGTGGCGACTGCTGTGGCCACAGCGCGCAAGATGCAATGCACCTCGTCGTCTTCATTTTAGGTTTTCACAGGAACCATGCCGACACCAAAAGCGCGAGCAAGTGACTTCAATGCACCTAGACAGCAGCAGATGCCAAGTCGGTCAACAACACCTGATCAACCGAACATTAACGCCGAAAAATACGCTAAACAACACAAAAGTATCTCAAACGCTATGCGAAAGGGCAAGTGCATAAATCAATGACACCCCACATTGGGAAGGAAATGCGCAGACAACGGGCAGCACATAAAGCCTACCCATCTGAAACAGGAATGCAGTACCGCGTAACCCCACAAAAAGCGGCTGTACGCGATAAACAACCTAGTCTACACTTCCGCGTCATAGTAGCACGTAACGACTATACTGCGGCCAACGTGTACGCCGTAGCCAAATTGATCCTAACTTAGTGGTTGAAAAGCGGAGTGACAACCAGATTTATTGGAAGTAGAAAATGGAACAAGGGAAAATAACTTACTTTTACCAAAAAATGTGAAGTCAAAAGCAAGCCTAAGATAAGGACGAGTCAGAGAAGTTCAAAAAAGGCAAGGACAGCTATCAACTTCAAGAAAACTACCGATATGTAAGGTAAAAACAGGAAAAAGAGATGGTCAGGGTAGAGGCTTGTTTTGTGATCTGCGGTACCTATAAATGCGCAGCAGTTGGTAGATTCCGGTACCACCAACGAAGATATTGACGCTGAAGAGATTCCAGTTCTTCGGTATGATAACAAGGGAGTAGCGAGACCAGATCAGACCCGTCATTGCCAATGCAGTGCTTTGAAAAACACTTACTTTTTCAGCTGGGCGAGCGAGATCAGCCAATCCAGCGATCACAAGGCCCTGGAAGTGTAAAAAGCAAAATTAATAAAAACGAGAGTTCCTACGAGCGTAGGGTGAGTGAAAGAGAAATCAAACGATTTGCCTACCCACTTAAATGTGGGAGCCCAAAAGAAGACAGTCTTAGGACCTGCAGGATGATTCCAAACCGGTTGCAAAGAAGTGGGACAAAGCTTATCCCCAACACTAACAAGCGACTTGTATATGAAAGCCATAATGCAAGATGACCTAGAAGTGGATTAGTGCGATGGCAAAACACGTATAAAGCAATCTAGACAAACGATTGGTGTCAACGAACTAGCAATGCAAATCAGGCATATTTCCTTCAGAGGCGATGCAATTGGGCAAATACCAGCTAATTTAAGTTATTCAGAAGCACCGACTGTCCTTCCACATCTAACCTGGTATGGGTATGCAAATTAATAGCGAAGCTCATTATTTGTGCTTAAATTGCAACCTCCACAACTATTGAAGGCTCCTTTTGCATTGACTTTTAAGAAGAGTGCTTCGAATTCCCAAGTCTTCAATGAATTCCACAATTTGGACAAACACTGAGACCTCTGATCGTAACTCTAATGTCATAATAACAGTTGGTTAACTTCTTGCAATTTCTTTATTATATTTGCCTTTACCATTTTAAACTTGTCTCATGAGTCCAGTACGCGCCCCACCTTTTCAATTTCGTGTACTCCGCGACTGGAAGGGTCTCACCACCCAACGCTACTCGCGCAAATTCCTCTCGGGGGTCTACTTCCATCTCTAGTAAGTTTTCCCGCAACTTGCTCTCGTTATTGCTTAAATAGAACCCACCTTTCAGTTTTACCGTCAAGAATACCACCTATGCACGCTAGAATCTCGGCAAAACCAAATTATCTAATCTAGCGCAAGCACCACTCCCTTGGATTAGCATAGATTGAGCGGTCTGTCGCGGATTACAGTGCTTAGACAAAAATTGCAAATTGGTACTTCTCCCCGGCACTTGATATTTGTCCTGTTTGTTTTATGTCCTAGTTACATTGTTCCAAACGAATGGAGTGCAGCGGCACCCTCTATGATAAAAATGGCTCTGCCGAAAATGTTCGCATCACTGTTCCACTTGACAACGATGATGGCACGTTCACTCCGAAGGATATGTTAAAGGCTCTGCCGATTTTCCAGCAGCGCATCAACGACGTGTTGACAGCAAAAATTGGAGACGGTTGTGGTAAGAGGGACAGCCTTATGAACTAAATGTAAGGTATTTGTACTCAGACATGAATTTGTCTATTCTTTTATAGTTGAGGAGCTAAGCAATGACCAAGACGAAGACCAAGAATAACTACAAAATCGTAACCACATCGCAGGGACCTGCTTTCGAGATCCAAAAATAAATGCTGAAAAGGTGATTGTATCCACTTCGTTCTCTTGTAAAAAAACCGGTTTATATTAGAAAGGTGAATATGTGACATCTTGCCAAGGAAATAAAATTGATCTAGCTGGCGGGTAAAAGATTGCGTTCCGAAGCCTCGCGCATTAAGTTCTGCACGATTCTAAAAATACAAATACGTTACCTCATTTAAATAGATTTTTAACACTTCGAAATAAGCCATTCACGAAACGAAAACAGACCCCAAGGTCAATTGCTACAGGAACCAGCATTAAATGACAAAGAGGCTCACTTCTCCAATTTCTGAGCCGTGCTGAGAGCCTCTCTATACTCCACGTAGGCATTAGCTAACGCTTCACGTCGATCAGACCAAATATGACATGGATAGGGCAAAACCACTCGCTGATAGACTTCTCTCCAAATATTCTAAAGAGGAATAGAAATAACAATGCATAGTATTCAACGAAACATTTCAGATTTGAGCTCTCAAGGTTTGGTATCATTAGTGGAAAAATTGAATTTCAAAGAGTTGGGGATCTTTAGAGTAGACGGTACGGTCGACATACGAGAGCTTGGGGTGAAAGACATGGCCAGCAAGACAGTGACTCGCTGTCGGCATCTCGACCTGGTGGTGAGTAAAGGCAGTTCCGAATCTTCGGCAACACCTCATCGGAATTGACGTATGACCTGGTGAGAAAGGACGCTTATTTACTTGTAACTTTGTTGAGAAGAGCAGATTCAAAAAAAATCTCGGTAAACGCAGAAGGATGATGCCCTTGAACTCACCAAAAAGAATCCGTAGTTTTTGATAAATTCAACGATTCCCTCATCTGATCCGAATCTCCCATGAATGTGCCTACGAAAATGAAGTACTAAACCAGCGGCGCAATATATTGGATAAGGTAAAGTTGGGGTTTCAAAAACACAAAAAAGAAGTACTTCTATACCTCATTCCAAGTCCAAAATTCGTATAAAAGTTTGGAGTTCCAAAGCATACGAACGCCAGTAATAAAAACAAAAATGCGTCAAACTATTACTGCATAAACTTCCAAAAGAGCCGTCTTCCGAAATTATCAATGCTAGAGGAACTACTCAACCTAACTTGTGCAAACTAGCTACAGTAGGTAAGAATAATGATAATAAATCAAATGAGGAACAGATTATGTCAAAATACCTACCGAATTCAAAGGCATATACATGCTTTACCAAATACAGGAGGAATTCTTCATTGAATTCAAAGGAGCTCGGATACTGACACCATATCTACGAAAGAGATACAATAATAAAGTAAACGCATGTTTTACTAAGTTTCAGTAGGAGGTAATTCCTGTTATTTCGCACCTGCCAGATGCAGTCCAGGAAGAGGAGGAAAATGGGGGCAGCTTCAGTGAACGTAGAATCACCGGGCTGTGTGAGGAGGTGCGAACAGCGCCCTGAAAAGGCGTGACCGGCCGATATCCATTCTCGTTGAATGAGAGCCTCAAACCTGTAAGGGTACTACTCACCAAACAATTTTTGCACAAACCTTATTTCGATGCCATCAATTTGCACCATTTAATGGGAAAATAGTCTACTTGTCTCTCAGACCTTTCATATGACGCCTACCAGCCTGTCTGCATTGTTACAACCTCGACAACAGCATGTCTCGATCACTTCACATACCCGAATCAAAGTATTAAGAGTGGAATGAAATTGAGCATCAACGATAAAGCAACTCTTTTTTACCCTCTAATAGTTCGCACAGCGGGGGAGAGGATAACTTGCACCAGAGAGGATACGAGGAGACATTGATCGCGTCCATCCCCACCGACAATAAGTAGAGAAGAACCATTGGTTGTCATTGCAGCCAGCCTCGTCTTTAATTCCGCTTCAGAGATACATCCAGCGGACCGCGTGAGAGCCGCTCGATCACGATCAAGTTGATTTCGCGCGGCTAAATCTCGACCGTCTAGAGCGCAGGCACCAGCAACAGCTGCGGCCAAGGTGTCGCGGACTAGACCAAGCCAAGCGGATGACTTTTTGAGGCTCACCTAACAGAAAAGGGACACACTTGAGGCAAATAAGTGGCAGTTGCACTTTATTTGCGAACTTCTAACATTTGCACGCTTCGGTGGAAGCAGTTTCTTATTCGCACCTCTCCAAATAAGAAGTAGAGCTATTATGCGTTTGAGACAGGCAGAAAATATCACATCAAAACCGAATAGGTGCACTTCCTAACCTTGACACCAGCAAAGGCACCATGTATCTCAGCGATGTCATCGTTGCCACCAGCAGGCAATGACGGCGAGATTGACGGGAGGTCGGCATTACCCGATGGTAGAAAGCTTGCCAGGTTGTAGCCTCCCCCGGAAGGAAAAGAGGAATTAGGATTCTGTTGAGGTACTATCTCCGCCGGACACGTGATGTCTAAGTTGGGGTAGAAACCGAACATGGCCAAATCTAACTTATGAGGGAGGAGATGATTTACAGAAAGAGGCGGTAACATTCACCAACCGGTACTCACCTCGAATGAACTGGGCGAAAATTGAATGAATTTCACCAACCTCCGGTAGGGGTTTGGCAACACGCTTCCAACGCTGATCGAACTGATCCATTTCTGCTGCTAGAAGGAAAGAGAAGTAGGACGGAGGTAAAAGCAAATAAGGACCCTAAAAGTAGCCAACAATAGGGCGAAAAATGAGGTTAAGGCAGCAATTTTGGGTGGTGCAATACAAATGAGTTCTCAGCCATAGTAATAAAGAATTAGACAATTTTAGCGCCTATTTTCCTCCCCGATAAGTATAAAATCAGGTTCAAAAGAACACTATGCAATTCACTTAAAATTTACCCATATTTCCAGTACCGAGGACCTCAAATAACCTCTTTGACTTAGGTAGCCTACCCACAATCAAGACCTCAAAGCATATTGACGAGGTTAAAATAGCAGTGCTACTGAATCTCAACGGGCAGCGAAATGGAGATCGAGAACTCAATTGCACGAAAACGGGAGGAGGCAAGAGCAATTAGGCGTGGAAAAGGGGAAGAGTAGGCGCGATGGAACAGATAGCACCACTAACCTCTAAAATACCGACTCAAAGACCATCGTTTGTGGGAATTTTTGGGTAGGTTGGCTTCTACTATCGAGGAGAGATCGCGATTCCGTTTACTTTCTGTGAAAAAAACACCACTTTTCTCAGGTCGAGAGCCTTATTAAACACTCTCCTTCTCTGCCTAAACTTAACCTACACCTCACCTCAAATGCAAAAATAAAGGTGCCTGCAATACAGCAATGCCTACTTGTTCGCTTAGAGCCTGACGAGGTGGCAGAGTCACCATGACTGCGCAGATCGATAATGAGACCCCTCTTTCCTGGAGGAAGCATAGCCTCTAGAAGCTTCTCATTGGCTCTGCAACGCTGCGAAGCCACCGATGGAAGGGAGGAAGAGATCGAAGATGAGTCATCTGACGCAGGCACTTGACCAGTTCTGTTACTGCTACATTTGCTTGTGCTGGAGAACTCGGAAGCAGTGGCTAAAATGGTCTAGATGAGCAGAAAATGAAGTGAATATAGTGCAAGTTTGGCCAGCAGGCTGAGCATGGAGTACTCACTGATTTGACAGAATGATAGTATTTAATCACAGGAAATCTGCAGTACCGTCTATCAACAGCGGCCTCCGCAATCACCTCATCATCGATTGAAGCAGGCACAACAACTGCTTCAGGATAGGTTGAACAGATCTAAAAACACAGATATTTTGTGAGAAAACCACACGAAAAATAAACTCCAAAGCTCCTGAATGGTGTCGAAACCTTCGTTTGGCAGAATAAGGAGCGATTTCGAAAATCGAATTTCCTTAAAAAGGTTACATTTTCCTACTAGGTTCATGATTCCCTTTCCACTTCTCCCTAACATTTTCAAAAGATGCGGCAAACAGATTCCAGATACCAAGAAGGTATATTAAACTTTGGACAAGTAGAAGTGGACGCACATTTCAGCAGAAAAAACGCCTGCGATTATGTTATTTCGAAGAAATAAAAGCGATTGAGGTGTCATTACAAAGGAGGTTGTGAAACAGTAGGCTGTAGCAACTATATCAGCATAAATGTGGGCCATTAAACGAGTTTACGATGTCGATTTGCATTCCTCTTCGATGGGTAATGAAGTTCTTGGCTATGTGATGCTAGCGCAAGGCATTTCTAAGTTCTTCAGAACCGTACTTTAAAATAACGTGAAAAATAGAATTTGCCAATCAGTTAGTCAAACACGTACCTTGAATTTCTCATTGACCCTACTGATGCGTACAATACCAGAAGCAATTTCTTTCGCAAAATCCTCCTCTGGTAAAAATGGGTTCCAGCCATTCCGATTAGGGAGGGAGTAGTCAAGAGCAGCCAGTCTTGAGTTCTTCTTAGTCCACACATCCATTTTAGCTGCAAGCCAAAAAAGATAGTAACAACTGTGGAATTAGAAAGCAATCGGAAAGTGAATCTTACTGTACTCCATAAGGGCCTTGTAAACAAGTTCCTGTTCACATTGAGTGGGAACACTAATTTCAAAAAATAGTAGCTCCTTTGTCCCAATACCCAAAGTGTACCAATGCGGTGGCGGCATGGTAGAGCTGCCAAATCGCCGTTGCACTCCCGTAGAAGCAGTAGTCGAGGACGAGGAATTAGAGGCAACGATGAACTGTAGCGGAGGTATCCGTAGAAGGAAGTCAATTTCTCCAATTTGAATCTTAGATTGAAAGAAAGTTAGAAAGAGAGTAATGTATTCCTTAGAAAAGATAAAGACGCATTACCCGAAAGGTTTTCTCTTCGCTTTTTATTTCAACTCCAACGGCAGAAACGCTACAAATCCCTTGATGACGAAATCCGTTTGGACCACAGACAATAATCTTATCAAGACTCATACCCTCGGACATTATCATGATGAGGAAGCTGGTAGAAGGAAAAACAGATTCCGCGAGAATAATATCATCGTACAAATGTTTTATATCCCTCTTTTTATGCGATGTACTCAAATATAGTAAAATTTGCTATCTCTGAAGAGAAACGGGTGAATTTTGGCGCAAGTAAAATGCATTGTATGGGATAAGTTGAAAAGTGTGAGAAACCTACACCACCTAGCCTGAGTACGCAGTAACGTTGCTGGCTAGTCCTTAATATTTGAGATGGGGGAATAGTGAGAAGATTAAAATGCCCTTATATGAAGGCAGCTTCGCCTCTTAAAAATCAAACAAACAAAATGTTTATTTTCGGAATCGATATTTGTTAGGAATAAGCTTTAGCCTTTGTGGATTAATTTTTAAGTTTCATCCGAAATTCTTATAATAGCTTGCTGAGGCATTCTAACCGATAAAATAAGTCAGTAAGCGCAGCTAAAAACGTGTGTTCTGAGGATGACAAGAGAAATGGGCTCGGTCATGGCTCGAAAACCAGCCCACATGTACAAGGGCTAGATAAGTTCTAAAGTGACCGCCGAACATCAAATATTCACTTAAACAAAGCGCTACACATAGCCTTTCGAAATGTCTGCTAAGAACAGTAAAGTCTTATTTTAGCCTTTTTGTCACTTTCCAGCCATGTAGTTGTTCCGATTTGCTGTGCAACATCCTTGGAAATTGAGTTTACACGTTTAATGTTTCTGGCATAAAGTAGAGGCCATCAAACTGAGGACGTCGAGCAAAGTCAAAGTAGCTTGTAACGTCCCGAGAATTTGCAGTGGTAACAATAGTTTAAGCTCTTTGCTGAGTGCTTGTGCTCAGGTCACAGCCGTAAAAGTATTTATGACATGGTGTAGAAGCTAGGCCACACGGTGGACTCCAAATTGATGCCAAAGTAGCTACCGCCCATAAAGACAATGGAATTGTTTATGTGGCCACCTGATGTCTGGCGATCACTTTGCCATCCGCCTAGCCCTTGATCCCTTGATCCCTTTTATCTCCCTGGAATACGCGTAATCAACCCCAAATAATGGCGTTTCCCGCCCGACGAAAAGACTAGCATCGCTAAAAGAATCAACAAGGCATTTCTGTATCCTCGAGAAACTTCCCAAATGGGAAGAAGGAATTAAGTTGGGCTAAATACATACATTCAGAGGGAAGAGGATATTAATCCTCAACCTGGACTGAGGACTAGCCCTCGCATGCAAGGGTAGGACGAATGCAAAAGTGGCCGCTATTCATCTGGTGGTTACATAAATAAGGTATCATAATCACGAACCTCTTCTCACACCTTGCGCAAAATTTACTCTGTAGTTTCCTGCCAAAGCCCTCAAATGGGATTACGGTCATTGGGTAAAAGACCGAATAAAATATGGGCTTAATTGTGGCTAACGTAAATGCGATGCATATTGTGCACTGCCCAGTGCCAGGTGGTTTCTTTCGTATTCGTCTTGTCTTTGCACTGCGGGCTGGTCCTCGGTTCAGGTTAAGGTTCCATGTCTTTTTTTTCTATATATATATATGTCTCAACCCAACTTACCGACTTCTATTTTGTAGGCAGTCTCGGGGCGCTACATGCCGGTCGTTTAAATTTTGAATTTTAACTCAAACGGTGGGCATGTGAAGTGCGAGAACTCCCCCTCAGACTATCTAGCATTCCTTAGGTGTCTTTTACCCCTTTTGGTAATGTCTACATAGGACTGCATAAAAGATCACCGTTGACCCACTTCCCTCTAAGACAGCTGAGATGAAGGGCGAAGTGAGTGGGATGGAGAGTGTAACAGTCAGTCCCATCTATTCCCCTCTGTCACCCAAGGCATAGGAACAGTGTAGAGGTAAAAATAATTGCAAAGGCTTGAATAGGTCTAATTAAATTTTATTAAAATCATACCCATAAATTTAAAACTGGTTACGAGAGTGATGTTAGTGTGGGCACCCAATGCTTTCTTTTGGGTATTAGAGGGCGCAATATTAGAGTTAAACGAATTGATAGGAAGGAAATTAATCTTCTGTTGGCTCGTTTGTGAAAAGCGCTATGACCACAGTTGTAGATACCTAGTCAGATAAATTTTCGCAAGAACCTTTATTAGTTGTCCGATATAGTGACACGACTATCATGTTTGTGAGAGCGTCTTCAGTGCTGTTCTCTAGGTTGTATCGTCATCAGTGGACCCAATCCAAGGAACTGATGTATTTCGGGTTCGCTTTTCTTATTATGCTTTTTGGTGGCACATGAATTGTTTCGCTTCCAGTGTAAATAATAAAACTTCTAATTGAATAGAAGACACCAAGTGAGGTTAGACACCCGTGTACGGGACAAAGGAAAAATGGTAGGCCCTGGTTTAACCTACAAGCTGGCTCGCACAACCTGGAGCAGGATGACTACCAAAGTGATCGCCGGACAGAAATGTAGTTGAGTAGACTTCCACGGCTATGCGCCCAAGCCGGTTATCACAGCGTATTTGTTGCTGGAAGGAAGCTCCCAATAGCCGGACAAGCCAGTCATCAACTACTGCGAAGCCGAGGAATTGTACTTCACCCTCTCCATAGCCTACGTTTATTTGGAGTCGCAGTTAGCCTGGATGCAGAATTCGAAAACGGAAAGTTCTTTAAAATATCATTTTTACTTAGTGTAGGAGCTGTCCGCCTAGCCTCATGCTCTTGAACCACGGACTTCAAGAGAGGGTTAGCTGCAGTAGAGCTATTAGGCACTGAATAGAGAAATGTCGGAGATAGTAGTACAAATGAGTCAAATAGCAGATATTATCCGGGAAGGGATTCCTTGTGGTCCTCTCGCACAAGATTCGCGTTACAATATGGGTCCCGCCTCTCTCCCATAAAGGTCAACTTAAACATTTTAGTATATGTTACACTTAGGAGTAGATAATGAAACAAGTTTATCGCAGAATAAATAACAAGCAAAATGGGATCAAACATGGCTTCATGTGGAAGAAGGCTGGGCGTAATGTTAGCAGCGACACCTATAACCCTGATTAGAACTTAGCTAGATGATCAACAGCGGCGCCGATTTTTAGTTGTCAAGAGCTTATTTGTTTGATGCGGGAGTGAGGAAGACGACAAATACAGGGGCCATTCTAGGTGCAAGAGGTAAGAGGTACTACGAACCATGTATGTCTTTCATTCACACTGTTGAAGCCTGTTATTAACTAGAAATACCAGCATTGAGGCCGTCACAAAGTCAAGTTTGCTTTTAGTAAGTGTAAGGGGACATTAAGAAAATTTAAAACACGCAGCTGGCAAAATTTGTTGCACAAGCTGTTGACTAACCTAACTTTTATTTAGTTGACGGTCGGCATCAGCTCTGTCGCCAAATCCGGCTGAGATGGACACCGAGCCGAAAATGCTTTTAGTTCGTCAGTTTATTTATAGTACAATAAGAAGTAGTTAGTAATTTTAAATTAATGCAACCTTAATAAATGATTTTTGCTTCATGGGTGCAAAAATACAATGGAAAATGTGTTAACTGCAGTATTTCCTTTAATACTTAGAGCCATTACTTTTTGTATGATTGGCTGCCAGCACCGTGATTAAATAAAGTAAATGTGCTAAGTCTTAATCTATTTGCGTGCATTTGTTATATGGGAAAATCCTTAAAACTTGAATATTTTTACAAAACTTTTAGTAGGTTTCTTGCATCCAGCGCGCAACGCAAAATCTGGCGGGATACTTATCGCTTGCCCTTGTTGTCCGAATCTGGAATTTCAAGTTTAGTATTACACAGCGCTAGGTAGTTTTCCGACCTATTTCTTCACGTTCGCTTTCTTAGTATTTTCTGATACTAAAATATGGATGATTTTTGAGGACCTGTATGTATTTGTGACAGATTATTTCATCACGTTATTGGTAACACGCGAATCAGCTGTTTTCGTCATAATTGCTCATCTTATTGCATAATTTCGGTTCTTCGGGAGCAGCTTTTTTATTTGTAATCGGAAACTTTTGTTCATCTAGGTAATCGATGGAGTTACGCGTTGGAAATAGGTATCGTCTAGGTCGGAAGATCGGCAGTGGCTCCTTTGGTGAAATTTATCTCGGTAGGTGCTGGCGCCCTGTTATTTTTGAAAACTCAGATCTTTTTCATTCCATCGCAATCGCGAGGTAATATTCTATGGTTTTGTTTGTGTGCTGCTACCAACATCGTTTCGTATGTCCACTTTGGCAGACTAGGTGCTTCTTACTGCTGTACTTTTGACTATAGGTAATGAGATTGTCATTGCCTGGCTGTTTTCCGAGCCATCATGTTTAGGTCAGGGTCCGTTGGCGAATATCCTCATTACTTTCATTGTCAGGATCGATGTTTCTAAGCCTTTACTTCTCTTGCCCACTCACTGCTTGTGTTCGTACTCGCGCTAGCTCCGAATTACCTTCACCTCCCTGTAACCAATCAACATTTATTTATTTTGCGCTGTTAGGTCTTATTATTATCGCCGCCGCCAAGCCTTTTATTTATTTTCGACTGGTTGTTTATTCCTCACCTTTCTCTAGTTCATTGATTTTTGTTCTGCTGTAGATGCTGGTTGTTTACCATTTTACTAAAGTCATCGTTCCTTATCTTTCAGTTTGTTTTTGCTGTCCCTATTATTTTGCCGATTTTGATTCCTTGAGGTGTTATCTTCCTCAGCCTCTGGAATGTCGTTTGCGAAATTGACTGTTGAATTCTAATTTTACTCATGTTAATATTCTGTCGATTTTCAGTCATCTGGTTGAGGTTGGGTTTGTCCTTTTTGATGCTAATTTTAACATTGTTTAGTTTTTATACAAATACAAGTGCTTTCCTATTACCTCAAAATCTGGTTTCATTTTCCATGCATTTTAAGGTAAGGGAAGTTTTTACCCAATAAGAATACATTGCTTTATTTGTTTGTCCAAACATCCTATCAAAACCGCTATCTATTGCTTCATACTTTTTATACCGACAGTCACGTTAACACAGTTACGTTGGCAATCAATTATTGCTACTATTGACTACCTTGAATACTGTTTGTCCCGTTTCTGTGTGCTCGCGATTTCTTATTTCCCTTCTCTTTGTTAACTGACTTTATGCCGGTATTGGCTAAGACACCCACATTTTGCGCTACTATTAGACGCCTCTTGGCTACTTTCAGGTTAACTGCCATTCGATATCCTAAGAAGCTAATGTATATGCTAATAGTACACCGGTTTTTGTGTCTGTCATTGTTCACATTAGTACGTTGTCGAATATCTGGGGAATGGTTTCTGAGACCTGCATTTTAACGATTCCATGTTAAAGTTTACCACTTCTTTGGTCGGCTTTTTTATTTGGCCGGTGAAAAGGTGGCTGACCTTAGCACGCCACACTTGCACAAGTCCTGTTGATTTTATCTATGCCGATAGGTGACTCACCAACGTCGAGGGTCGGAGGATGGAGATTCAAGTGATGTGTCCACCGTTTTCCCTTGCCCCTCCTCTCTCCTTTTTGCATACATCCCAAAGTTAGGTTTTCATAGTGTCTTTGTCTGCACAACTCCTATCAAAGTTCCTTTTGTCTCCCTTAAAAGCATCTCATTTTGACCCCCGTAACTTTGAACGTCAGTTTTGGCAGAATTTCTCAGCTTGTTGACAATAGTAGTCCAAATTTGTCTGCTGGTGTCCACTCCATGGTGGAGTTCTCGACTTAATTTGTTGCATCTCTGTTTATTCTTCAAGATATCAACAATCTGGTCCCGATGCAGGTTCATTGATAATGTGGAGGGGTTAGGAGGTTATAGGTTTGCGTACCCGAGGCTCTGAGCCCTCTACTGGACGTGTGGAATCTGTTGACTTAGGTATCACTCTCAGTGTCTTCCTGCGGCATAAGAAATCGGAAAAACTATCGATGTGGGGGTGGTCTCTATGTGGTGTACTCTTTCCGACTCGGTCATGCGTCTCAGGTGTTTTTATTTCACCAAATTTTAGTTTTGTGGTTTTATAGGGCAGCCCCGTGTGGAAGGCTGGCGCCTACATTGATAGAACGAAAGCCGAAGAGTGTGTGTAGTGGTGGTACAATCTTGCATCAGTCGAATAAACAAACGACTGTGCAGTCAGTCTGAGGTTGTAGCTTAGTGCCTAACGTAAACGATCGTCCGAAGCTCCGCTAAACTGGCAATTATGCGTCCCTTCTACGTGGGTAAAAGTAATTGCTTTGCATCCAAAGTTAGACAAGTTAATTTTACTATTTTAGAATGCGCTTCCCCTTTTTTCTACTTAGTAATCTGTTTCGGGGAGCTTCGAGACAATCACTAAGATCTTCCTTGTGACGCCCTTTCCGACTGAGGGTGTTCAGCTATCAAATTATAGTGGCGAATATAGTAACCGTTTTGTCGTTAACACGTTGGAGTGGTCGTGGGCGCACTTTCCAACCGAATTAGCCACAATCGCTTGGAGATTTTATTGCTTCGATGCAAACCCAACCTTCCTTAATTGTCTGATTGATTCATCCACTATTCCGTGGTTAAATGGAATCCATCCATTGGTTATTTAGTCTAGACAAACACGTGGCACACATGGAGACTGGTGGTGGCCGTGTTGAATTGTCATTGGCCACTACATTCGTCGTAATTATCACCGACGCAGCCAATTTTCGCCTTCAGTGTTACGCTCGACCTTTCTGGAGGGCGAAGGAGCTAAAGCAGGCAACCACGTAATCTTTGTCATAATTTCCAGCATCGAAAAGGGATGTTTTGACGAGGTGATTAGGTGTTAATATCAGTGTTCCTTTTGGTTTGCGTCTCACTATGGTATAATAGATTGGAGCACGAGGCGTTAGTTAACTACATGAATTATTTACCTGCCTTAGGTATTATAGGGGTTTTTTTACATTTCGTTTAAGTATTGTCTTGAATCCCGTTGATTTCAATCAAATCGCAAATAGCATAGCCACTTTAAGTCTCCTTGAACAATGCTCTATATTGGGTAAATAATTGGAATGGTCTAAAAAAATTTGCCGTATCTTCATCTATGAAACCGTCAGCTTCTCTCAAGCATTATTTGTACCTTTTGATCAATGTGGTTCATTCTAAGTCACGTTGGTGGGTGTTGCAGGAGGATCAGTCCTCTCACACTTTTTCAACTACCCTTTGCTCTTCACTTTTGGACCAACTTACTGCTTTGGTTCTGCGAGCTTCGGCCTCTTAATCCAGCTCATAAAGAAAATTTTTGTCTCTAACTGCAGAGTTGGGGTAACTCCTCTAATTTATGTTTTAAGCCACGTTGCGGAGCCTCCTTTCTCGAAGATCGTTGGCCTTATTGCTTGAATCCCTCACTCCCGTCCTCCTCTAGCTGGCCTCAGAAGTGTTCCTTTTAGCGCCTCCCGAGGTCAAGGCAGCTGTTATCATAGTAGTTGGTAATCGTTGCACTTCCTTGGCCTCTACCGGTACATTCATTTAATTGTATTCAAGCCCTTCTCAGTTCGTTTGAGCATCGTTTCATGAATTTCAAAGGGCGCAGGAAATGTTTTATTCTCTTAGATTGGATAGAGTTTGGTTAACAAGCCATCACGAATGTTTTTTATGGGTTTATTTGGTCTCCCACTCGCTCCACCATATGTAGCATTGGAGCAAGGGCGGAAGTCGTCTGCCACTCTTTCCGAAGTCACTGCATTATTTACCAACAAAAGTTCGGAATTTTAGAGTGTGTTGTCGACGGTATTGTGTAAACACAACATTAAGAAGAGGTAGATTGTCAAGTGGTGAACAGGCAGGTGTTTAGGTCCTGGTCAAGGTCGTACTCTTTAAGGAGTGGTCATTTAACAGTCCAACCGGGCAGGTAGGCAGAAGAGGGTGAAACAGGCTAGGCCAGACCCAGGCTGTGTGCGTGTTCGTGTGGCGTTCGATTGCACCTACACACGCGTTGCGTTCACCGCGTTAGCTCTTTCGCTAATGCCATCGTGGCCATCACTGCCTCCTCCTACTTTGTTTATGCTTAGTCGACTGCCTTGTCTTACTGTTAACTTCCTCTTCTCCCCATTTATAAAATATGCGTAGAATTTTCTGTGGGATTCCAGTCTTCTGGTAGTGTCGGCTGAATTGGCGGAATCCTGATTTTAAGCAGAAGTTCTTTGTGTTGTGGTTCTGTCTGCCACTCAGTTGTGATTTTGAGTTGCCTCAAGTTTAGCCACCTACAGCATGTTCCTACTATGGCGTGCAACACTTTTCACATACCTGCAGAATTTGGCATGATAGCGCCAATGTAGCAATTGGATTGCCTCTGAAGAAGGGAAGGAGGATCGAGAGTTACCAAAAGTCCACCTAAGCTTGCAAGCATTACAGAATATGCGTGGTCAAGTGCTCAGTGTTGTTCCCCTCGAACTGAATGGGACGGAGGGAGGTTTGTTGAATGGTGTGACGCGGTTTGCACAACTTGGGTGTGCCTATTTGTTTTTTTTTTTTTGGAGGGGGAAGGGGGAGGGCGAGTCAATGTTTTCTTTCAGTGCCGATTGTCTCCACTTAGTCGTTCACCTACTTGGCTGCTTGTGCCCCGATTTGTGTCCCAAATCTTCTTGTTGTTTTTTCCTCAAATGAATGAACACCGGTAGCGTTGGTCGAACTTCGCTAGGAATTGATGAACAGACAAAGTTATGGTCGATCTTCACTTCGGTTTACAATTTCGAAATTATAGCATGGTGAAGTAAACGGATAAGCGAATTGAGGGTAAGAAAGTTTGAAATGAGTGAAAAGATGGGGCCAGACTAGGGGGATGACCTTGTGAAGGGTAAATGGATTATCTGACTACCACTCCATCCAGGTTCGCCTTTTGCCCAGCACTTGTTTCATTTCTTCACCTTAAAATACTCCTTTTGAAGCGCGACTTTCGCTCAAATCAGCCAATCATTTTGCTCATCCCTTTTCTTCTCGCTCCTTTTACGTTCTTTCACTATGGAAAAAGTGGTAAGTCGTCGATGAAATTAGCATTTACTCACTGTCTTTGGTGTCATTTGAGGTGTCGTTAGTGGTCGGAAGCAGCTTCCTTGGCTGAAATTAGGCTTTCGTGTTAAAAAAAACGTCGGCTTTTTTTGGCAAGGTTGAGGATTGAGTTACGTGGATTATGACGTGAGCAGACTCCTGTGTCGCGAATCGTGGACGAATGGAGCAAACGTCTTTTGATCACATACAATTTCTTCTTCCTTATGGATATCGTTGGCAGTGCCGCTTACAATCACTTCTCAGCACCAATTATCGTTGAAAACGTTGAATGTTTTCAATTTATTTGCGACAATTTTCATATTGATGGGATGGTTTCCATTCCAAGGATTTTTTCAGCGCCTCACAAATTTTAATCCAATTCATCTGTCATTGTGTTAACATTATCATATTTCAATTGCTTTGTGTGGGCACATTTGGTCGTGAGTCGATGAGTGCTGGACGGCCAGTTTAGAAGACCACTGGGTTTGTATCCAAATGCATTCTGCTGTCTTTATCTGACTATTAAGACACCTCCTTACACCTTAGGAAAGTTTTGCCCGCTGTCGTTTTGTGTTTCGCCAAAACCATTACTTTGCTTACTTTTTTGGTAAGGAGGAAACTTCATCCTGATTGCAACGGTATCGTGTAGTTGTCAGACAGGTTTTCTCCCTTTCACTGTTGGTAAAGGATATCTAATAAAAGCTGTCTATTCTCATTCTTTGCGATTAACGGTTTGGGCTTAATGTATAGCATTTAAGGAGAAATAATTTTTCTCTCATCATTCCCTCTCCCAAACCTTCTGAAGTGGTGTTTGTAAGATTTGAAAAGCAACCAAGCCTTATCGTCGCCTTTCAATTGGTCGAAGTGCACTCACAGTCCATTTGTCCCCTTGTCAACCCTAGTGCATGTTTACGCGATGCCTAGTGTAACCTTGCCAACACAGAGATCTCAGCTTCGTCCATGATTTTTTGTCGTTTGGTTGCCAAAATGCACATGGTGCAGTTGGTGACTTGATCTTCAAAATTGATTTAGTATTGGGCCTAGGTAACACCCACTTCCCTTTGTACCTTCTTAGGCACAGATGTGACTGATAACCAGGAGGTGGCTATAAAGTTGGAATGCGTCAACGCGAAGCATCCCCAGCTGTTGATTGAGGCAAAGATCTACCGAATTCTCCAAGGCGGATGTAAGTTTTACGCATACATATATGCACATTCTTGATAGTTTACGCATGTGCAAGTGGGCTTCATGGCACTGTCATCCCCTCTCTTTCTTGCTTAGGTGTCTCATGTCCGTTGTTCCATAGATAGATGTCTTTTTTCGACTGTTAAGGTGGCATCTGAATAGGTTCTCACAGTGTTGGGGCGGAGCTTTCGTGTCGCCAAAGTTGCTCTTTTTGTTTGCTAGGAGGTTTCTTTGTCCGCAAGCTTCTGAGAAGGGCTTAGAGAACTAACAGCATAGATAGATCGAGTTCCATTTAGTCGCTGTGAATGCATGGATTAATTGACGTGCATACTTGAGTGGACGAATCCGAGTTGGAGAAGGGCATGACATGTATGTATTGCAGTTTTAGAAAGGGTTTCTTCCAGATCAAACCTCTTTTGACACTGGCTTACCTGAAGTAGCCTTGCGATATGCCACCATCCTATTTACCTTAATTATCCTTTTTCATTCTGCAGTTGGCATTCCTACGTTGAAGTGGGTCGGGAAAGAAGGTGACTACAACGTACTGGTGATGCAGCTACTGGGTCCGAGTTTAGAGGATCTCTTCAACTTTTGTGGTCGTCGATTCCGCCTCAAAACGGTCATCCTCCTCGCTGATCAGATTCTCATGCGTATTGAGTACATGCACAGTCGTAACTTCATCCATCGGTGAGTTTCTCCATCTTCATTATATTGTAGATTTGCATTTCTCCCTCTACATTGGACACTTCAGTGGTAGTGCAATTAAAAGGTCCTCCTCGTCATTTCATGCTGGCTGTGGTTGCACTAATTTATGTGTTGTGAACAGATTGGTTGAGTTTCTTCAAACAAGCTGGGCAAGTGGTTAACTTTTTTGGCCTAGGTAGGATAGGTATTAAGCAAGTTAAGACAGTAAACTAGGTAAGTGAATGTGGTGGATCGATTTGGGTGATATGCTCATCATATGGACGGACTAGATGCTTGGTCTCCTTCTGTACTACGTGATTTACTTTCCCATTTCGCCACTCCACCCTCTATCCCCAAGTTGATTACTTAACATCCTTCTCCATATCGTTAGATTAGCCTCATCAACAACCGCATTTCTGTGTGTGGGCTTAATATCTTCGAGTGATTTATTTTTGCCAATGGGCATTCGCTCCACTTCTTTTTAGTTCTTACTCCTATGCTCTATAGAAAGAGGGCTTTACAGGTTTCTGTGTTTGAATTTTTTTTTTGATGCTTGATAAATGACTTTCAAACGAGCGCGCAAAGGCACTCCCTTCGGTGGGACACTTTTATGTTCGTTAGGCTGAGAATTCATGGTGTCATATGTTTAACCTCCTATTTATAGCCCATCGCACAACTGAAATCATATCCCTTCCTCTCTGCACGTAGCAATGGTTACTTATCCCGTAGTTGGGGACAAGACACTTGTGATTTTATTTTGTCTCTCCTCTATCACGGGTGCTTACCCGATTTGCATTTCCCCATTAGTAATTTCAAAAGTGTAGCTTTCCTGTGAAAATCATGTTTTGCGTCTGGGTCACTCCTGTGTGGATGTTTAGATTGGCCTGGCAGTTTCTTCATCGCCAAAACCCAACGTATTATTTATGGACTTGAGAACCTAGCGTTTGAATGGTTGTGTGTCACATTACCATCCCTCAAAGTCACCTTATTAGCCAACGCTCCTTTTGGGCGCACAATTGTCTCCTGTTCAACCGGGCACATTGTCACCTGCAATTCTGTCTCATCTGACAGTGTGATATATTTTCTTACAAATAAATCATGTGATGATAGTGAGTCCTTAATATCACCTTCGGTTATGCATAGGACTGAGCTGTCACATAGGAACAAAAAACCCAAAATTAATTCGCCTGAAGCGCCAAGTGAGACAAGCAAAATCTTGTCAATTGCTTCGGCCTAATTGCTTGACGTGCTGACATGATTTGCCGCCTCTAGTCTGCTAACCATCAATGTCTGAGTCTTCCTTCAGCTTCCATTTATCGCTTGTTGTCAGCATCTGTCTTGGTAATTTGTAGTTTCAAGTGATTTGACTGTTGGTTTTAACTGACGTATGGATTGGGTTTAATGGAAGACTGCATGCACGGGTAAATGAGTTGAATTAGCCCCAGGGTGGATGAATAACCGAATAGATGAGATTCAGTGTGGGGCTAAGGTAGAAGTGCATACGGTATGAACGATTCTTGTGAAAGTGGGTTGCCTTGGGCTCATCATCCACCCTTTTCTCACCCCTCGTGTATCTTGCATGACGTGGTTGTTGTACCCTCCTGAGGCGCCTTCCAAAATGTAACGCGTCCCTTACATCTGTCCACTCAACTGAATTGTTGTTCCGTTTTGGTGAAACGGTTTGCAATATGCTACTTTTACTCTTCCCTTATGCTCCGCTTGATAAATTTTGCGTCTAGCTCCTCAACTGCAATCTTTGGAACTATATCACTTCCATCTATCCTCAAACCTTATCCTCTTCGGTGCATTTGTTTTACCAGTCCATCGAATCCTGATTTTCCAAGGGTCATGTCACGCATTGACTTGCTGAAGTCGGTTTTTGAGCCGCGTTGACAGCTAGAAATATCAGCTGACAAAGGGCAATGTGTTTGTCAGGTGATTCTAGCCTTGACAAGGAACCACATGCACGACCAAGTCTTGCTCACCTGCTAGGAGTCATTTCATTTCTTAGGTAATATTCGGTCCAGACATTAATTCTTGTCGGATTCCTTCACTCTTATTCTGCCCTTCCTGAATTAATTTCTTTTCTAGCGTCTTCTCTGCTTCTTCCAGCGTCTCCTTTTTTCTTTTTGAATTGCGTATGAAATCGGATTTCGCAAGTAAACGGAACAAGTCAAGCTGGGTAAAGATAATGGTAGGAGTTCCTTGAAAATACTTCACCTTTGTAGAAATTCAGTTCACTTTTGTTAGTTTTCTACCTCTCCAATACTCTGTTGCAAGTCTTCACCCAATCTTTTCTCTTCTGCTTTGAGTCCTTCTATTCTTAGTTCTCCGTAGCTACATTCGCTCATCTATCTCTTTTGATGGATCATCGTTTATGTGCATTTGGTCTTATCAATGTGCACCTCACAGGGGCAAGTAATTCAACAATCTCTGGTGATCAGGTAGGAAAACAAAACGAGGGATTTTGGTTGATTCTATCCATGTCTCCTTCTACAGTCCTCCTTTGATCCATCCATTCACCGACCTCGAATTCATCCTTCCCTTTTCTTTAGCTCCATCCATTCGAAGTCCGCTGGGATCATTTATCTGTGCATCAGGAGCAGTAGCATTCGACCAGTACTATTACTATTATTACTATTTCTATTACTAATGCTAGACAAACACAAAAAAGTCAAAGGAGGCGGAGCAGATTAATTACATTGGAAACTCTAATTGAACGGCGTACCACCCACCCTCAAGTCTTGATTACTCTTGTATTTTTGCTAAATGGAAGAAGCATCCTCACTTCTCTGTCTGGGCTTATTTTAAATTTATTCACGTTGGATTCATCAGCTCTTGACTCCCATTCACCCTCCACTCTGACCCGTTCATTCAGTTATGGCAGCTTTTATGGCCGCCTCGTATGTATGCCTCCACCCCTCTCAGATTGGCCACTCATTGATGCAGTCGTCATTACCATCATCCTTCCTCCATCTCGAATGCACTTAATTACCCATCTCTCTCTTGGCTCCATGTTTTTGCCGATTTGCCCATTCATCATCTCTACGTGCGTCTGAATTAAGCACGGTTGGCTTTGATGGGTCTTTAGTTCAACCATCTCGAACACGAAACCGGCAGAGCGAGGAATCTGGCGCAATGGAATGACATGGATGTGGTACTCTACTCTCCACAACAAATGGAATAGTCTTGAGCTCACTTTCCTGATCCTTAGTGGGTTAGTGGGCTTCTAAGACGTCTTAAAATAGCCCACACATTAGGCTTTATTTTGGTCAAAATTTAATGCGAAGCACTTCTTCGCGGTCACTCTTGCCTGGTGCTTAAAGAAATGGCACTCAGTTTTTCGAGTCTAAACAATGTCTTTTTCTGCGTACTTTCAACAGGGACATTAAGCCGGATAACTTCCTGATGGGCCTGGGAAAACGCGGCAACGTAGTCTACTTCATCGACTTCGGTCTGGCTAAGCGTTATCGTGACCCACGCACGCACTTCCATATACCCTACCGCGAGAATAAGAACCTCACCGGTACTGCTCGCTACGCCAGTATCAACACTCATCTTGGAATCGGTTAGTGAGAAAATGAAGAAGCCATTTTAAGGCATTTTTTAATTCTAGAAAAATCAAGTCGTATTATTGGGTCGGCCTCTTTCTTGCCGCATTGTTCTCTTTGAATATGTCATCCTTTCCTTCATTTTTCATTTTCTCTCCGAAGGAGCTTTACGAAATGATGGGTTGGAATACGTCTTTAATTAGGACTGGAAATTTTACGGGAGTTACTAATCAAGCTCACATGCAAACAAGATTTTGTTGATTTGCATGATAAAGGCTAGCAACGCCTTTTCTCCCCTCCTTACAATGCACCATTCTCCAGTCGGTAGTTAAGGTGTCCATCAATTCTCCTGCTTCATGGTACAGTTACAGTCACTTCTCAGTTGATTTGGCCTCTGTTCTCCAACGGTTTACTCTGCATCATGTACGATAGGCGCCTGATTGTATGCGAACAAGGAAAGGCGATAGATAGGGCTAGGTGAACTAACGCTTGAGGCAGTACAGGACACGAGGTTGAGGCGGTGCCTCCTCCAATTATGCAGTTTTTCTTGCTACACAAAGCCACAGAAATTTACTTGGTTACCTAGGCACTGGGAGTCGGCGCTCACCACCACCGGTATGCAAAGTGCGCGCAATGGTAACAGCATGACAACAGCGTGATCTTTATTTTCCCTTCATCTTTGATCTCATCTTTGCGTGTCCGTGACGATTTTCAACAGAATCTGAGTCATCTCTCATCGCCACACGCCACCTTTCTCTGCCTTCCCATGCAAGTTTGGCGGCCATTTCCGAATTTTATCAATTTCGTTGTTTCATTTTGCATTCACTCTCTCCACATGGCGAATTCTGAGCATGTTTCCTTCTCCCGTCCTCAGTGGTCAGAGCTGTATCACTTTCGTTTTCTCTCTCGCGTAAAAACAAATACCTGTGTGTCAAGTGGACATTGGGTGTCGGTCATGGGTGTTAAAGTTCAAAGTTCACCCCTGAAAGTGAAAAACCTCGCGCGTTGAAGGCATTTGCACAGACCTTTAAATAATTAATTCGTTCCGTTTTTTCACTACCATATCTCGAGGCTCTTTTTTCCGCCTTAATGATTGGGACGTCATCATGATAACCCAACTACTAGACTGAACTTCGGCTTCTGACTCTTATGGAGACGGGCGTGAGACGTTCGATTTTCGTTTTTCATAATTTTAAACCCGTCGAAACCTTGGCGCTTGGTGATCATTTTATTACTTTATCATTTACGAATTGCTCTCGTCATTTCTTGCTCTTTTTCTAACCTCCTCAACTCCGTAACTGCTGTGCTTTTTGGAGACTTTGCCGGGTCTTTGAGGACCAACTTATTTGCGATTTGCGAAATCTATTTGAACACAGATATTGGTTATCTTGCGGACTTCAAGACTACTGCTGGGTCATTGGCACCGGTTCCAAGTTAAGTCGATGCCTGGTTTACTTACTTTTGAATGGCAGCACACACAGGTCAACGTTTGTCTGCCCTAAGTTAGTTGTAATCCAAGGACGAGCAAGCTGAAGTGCAGTCCCTAGCGGAACTTGTTTCCTCCTGACCTATAAGTGGTCCTCGCTTCTTCTTGGCTCCTCCCAGAGAAGCACATAGTTCTCTTCTAATTAGATACCAAATGAATTTGTATTGATGGCTTTTTGATTGAGGTTTACAAAATTCGCCATTCTCTCTCCCTGACTCGTTACGAACTTTGCTGACCGATTTTCGGATCCTGTTTCCTTTCAACTTCACTCTTTTGTCTCAGATTGGTTAATTTGTTTCTCTGTGATGAATGAATGCTGTTGGAAGGATTATGAGCTTGGGGACAGAATTGGAGGTGTCCAAGATAGGTGGCAGTGGATCATGTATGACCCGGGGATGTCAGCCAATTGTAAACAATTTACGAAATGACAGTGAAGTTTGGGAAGGCTTGAAAGAGGTCCACAAATAAGTGTTCTTCTTTTTTGCACTAGTGAAATTGTGACCCCATGAAGACGATCGTTGTGTGCTTCTTGTTCGGTGGTTGATGTTTAGCCTTACCGGAGTAAGTTGTTTGATCTAGTAAAAATGCGGTTACTGCGTTCATTTCCGCAGAACGAGGCATCGTCCGCACTCCTTCTTGTTCAACCACGAGAACAAATTTATGGGAAGTTTTTACCACGTGGTAATCCTGGCGATGGTGGCACCGCTAGTGGCTGCCATTGCAACAACTTTTCTGTGAACCTACTTTGCGCCCCAGTAGCGGCGGTGGCGGCGGCAGTAGTAAAGGCGCTAATGACGATGATGATGCTGGCGATACCGCTGCCGCCGCTGACAGTGAGTCACCCTGGCAGTGGCAGCAGCGTAGACCAGAAACGGTGCAAGCGAGCGAGCGCATTCGTGCACACGCATACGCATGAACACACATCCACTTGCAGCTTGGTGGATGCACTTTCCCTCTTGTCGCAGGTCCGGCATCTTCTCCACTTTGGGAAGGTGGTTTTATTTCACCGCACCATGCCTTCCAGGCAGATACTGAGATTGGCATCAAATTAGTTGCTTTTGTTGACAACCATTCCTCCATTTTGGGGCGAAAAGACTCATTGTGTCTTCCAATGCATGGCTGAGCATGTTGATGGCGAAGGTATCTACTGTTTGTGCTCTTAGACCTCCGATTGTGCAAAAGATGACCGAACTGTAGCTGCATTGGGTCAGTTCAAAGTAAGCATTCAAATTATTTGCAAGGTTTTCATTCTACTCTTTGGGCTCTCATTATCGCAACATTGTTTCAAATTCACCTAATTCATTTAGCGAATCTCTCCTGATCACTTTGCCTTGAAATAGCATGAGGTGCAGAGCCTGAAATTGATGCATTCGAGGTCATTCTTGCTTTGGTGACAACAGGTGCAATTTTGCTTGAATGTATTCCTGGTGCTGGCATAGGCGCATGGAACGTGAGCTGTAGCGCAAATGCAGCTGTGAGCCTTCCAAATCGCAGACTCCGACCTATTGCAGAACGGCGAGAAGAGGTGGTGCATTATGCGGACCTCTCTTGGCTTGCCGGAAGCTAGCCTTTAGACCTCTTAACTTCCGGTTACTCTTCATCAGGTTGTCAATTTGTCAAGTGGGATCTTTGGTTTAACGAAAAACTTGAGTACTTGTTTATTTTAACCGTCACCTCGTTGTGCCACTACCAACACAGCAAGCAGCAATTCAAGGCACTGATTCGGGGGGTACCTCTTTACACGTCCATGTCGACGAGTATGTTGTACGTGGCGATAATGAATCAGGACGCAGTTCCGAGATTTGGCGCATCAGATTTGACATATCAAGAGTCAGCTTAGTTCGTGGATATCTTTCACTTTACCCATTCGTGAGTGTAATGCTTTCTCAATATTATTGGTCTGCAACTAAATTTTCTTCGCTTCTGCTAAGAATTTTCCTATTTTTTTTACTTTTATCGAAGGCGGCTCTAGTGCTTAACCACTCCTTTTTCAGTTCCTAATCGGCCCAATTTTTGGGTTTTATGCAGAGCAATCACGTCGGGACGATCTGGAATCACTGGGCTATGTGCTGATGTACTTTCTGCGTGGAAGTCTGCCCTGGCAGGGCTTAAAATCCATCAATAAACGCCAGAAGTATGAACGCATCTGCGAAAAAAAGATGGAGACTTCGATTGAGGCCCTCTGCGATGGCTATCCTTGTGAGGGAAACTTTCTTGTTACTCGCAATCATTTAAGTGGTTACTTGATTTCGAAATTTCGTGTCTCTACTCAGCCGAGATGGTGGAGTACCTCAGCTACTGTAGGAGCCTCCACTTCGAAGCGAGACCCGACTACTCCTATCTACGTCGTCTACTTCGGAATCTCTTTAAGAAGAACCATTTTACACACGACATTGTCTTCGACTGGAATCTCCTCAAGATATCGGGTAACGATACTGGCGCGAACGCAGCTTCCGTTGCCACTGGAAATGGTAACGCTTGCCCTCCCGTCCATGAAAGTGGTGCACAGCTCAAAGTCACGCCTGGAAACGGGCATCATCACGCAAATCAGGAGGAAGATAAGCCCGGTCCGTCTAGCCTCCCTGTTAGGACTTAGGAAGGCTTCGGGTAATTTGAATTCTATTTTTTTTTGTTTTTTGGGATTTATAGATCAGCAACGCAATCACATACCACAACCACAATTTGCACAACCGACGGCTGTGAACATTCAGCCGCCTGTACAGCAGATGCAGCTCAATCCCCATGCTCTGCAGCAGGCACAACAGCAACAACAACGCGGATTAGTTGGCCATCAGAGCCAGCAAAGTGGTGCCAGGACAGGTGCTGTTCTCTCTTACCTTTTATCAATGAAGACTACCACACCATCTGCACAACCAGCTCCACCCACATCACTTCCTGCAGTCGCTTGGAGTGCTAATGATTCTGCAGACGCTGAAGTCGCAATGTGGCCCACAACCGCTGCCGCTTATCCCGCTTACCCTGATCGAGGTGGAGGCAGCTCTACTCCACTCAATCTCTACGTTGTCTCTGACGCCAATCCCGCGGCTGCTGTTGCTGCTGCTGCCGCCATGGCCCACCAACAAGCACAACAAGCTCAGCAGCAGCAACAGCAGCAAGTCCACCAGCAACATCTGGCTACGATAGCAGCGCAGCAACAACAACGAGCAGAATATCAGCGGCAATTGCGGTGGGTCGCCACCCACTTCAACCTCGTCGGTGTGCAGCCTCCACAGTCACGTCCGACGGTTGGGGCAGTTGGTGGAGCACCGACAGCAGCACCGGCAGTTGCAACCGGCGTGGGAGGATCAAACGCACCCAATGTAGCTGCTGCAGCTGCCGCAGCGGCTGCAGCAGCGGCAGCAGCAGCCTCTGCAGATCCTACAGTCGGTCGTCCAGGCTGCCTGCATTAGACACATGCCTCGATTCTGCTCTCCTTTCTTCATACTTTCTTTGAACGCAGTGATACTCTGTAAATATCATCATCCACACGTGCGTGCGTGTGAGCTGTCATCGTCGTTTGTTATCGCGTAGCCACCCATTTCTCCCCTCTTCTCAACTTTCTCGAGACCTTGTGTTTTGAGCTATTTTTCTCCATTATTTGTTCGTCCTCACTTATGTAGCGCCTTGAATACTCGTTGCAAATAGCGGCGCAGAGGCAGTGATTGTCTTTTGGTGCTCCTTAAAGAAATTAATTCTCCTTATTTCCCTTGCGAGCCTGTCAATTCTGGTTCTCCTCAAACGCTGCCAGTCAATGAAATCTCTTTCATCCTTACGTGTCTGTTTAATTATTTAGTTGTTACTCCACATTGGGAAGTAAACGTGAAAGTGTGGGGAAGTCGGATTTGAGGTCTACAAACAGCATATGATGTCAACGCTTGGGCGTAGAAGGTAAATGTCTTCCGGAGGCAAGTTGAATTTGATAACTCCCATTTTTGGTTAGTGGGATGAGGCGTTTGCTAACGCGTGTTTCAGGAGTTTTTACACCCACGATAAGACATGAAATGGAGAATAATAAACAGAACAAAGACGATTTATCAGGCTCTGTGTCACAAGTGGACATATTTTGGCGTTCTGCGGCATTAGACTTGTTTCTGACAATCCAAAACATCCAACACTTCAAGGCAGCTAAATTGCACATCCATTTTGAAGTTATCTCAATTTTGACGCTTAATGAGGATACAATCCTTGACTCATGGTATCACTGCATTGAAAAATAAGTCGACAAAGACTAAGGCACGACAAGCTGCATTTGTAATATAAACGCGGTTTTCACAGTAAGACCGCAGTTGCTTGTTTGAGTAGGTATAGAAGCACATCAGCTTTTCAATGGGAATAGAATATCTAGCGTGCACTCTCCCATTGCTGGCTGAAGTTGCCTAGGAAGATATTGGTCATGGAGCATGCCGCCTCGAGCGTACCGAGGAAGGTGACTCCAGACGAAGAATCAACGCATATCATGCCTATGCTTATTCATGGAAACTGTTTCCCAATGTGTGGTTGTTGCGGAATGTTCTCAAGCTTCCTGAAACTAATGTCATATTACCAACGACAATAAGCGTCGCGTCGTTACGTTAGATTAGCTCTGAACGAGGTATCAGAGCATATGAAGTCAATTGCCCAAATAATCCCAACTAACTCTATTTGGTACAATTCACGTTCTGTTACACCAAAACCATTAAAGTTGGAACATGATATTGATATAGACAACGATTTAGCAGAAAAACCAGTTTCAAAAGTAGCGGGAAGGCAAGAAACTCTCCTGATCAATTTTTTCATCAATGCTCCAGAAATCATTTATCAACTTTGCCCATCTCTCGAGGTAGTAGGTACTTTCGAAATCCCTGTTGTCGATAGCCTAAAATCATACATGACTCAACAGACCGCACATGAGAAAAATGTTTCAAAGTCGTTCACTTACATCTTGAGCGGGAACATGAGCCGTGTCGAGGAGAGGAAAGAAATTCTTTGTCCAGTCTGGCATACTACGTAAGGTCAACATTATCTTATTGATGTTATTGTGAAATAGATCCTCAAGAGAACATTTGCATTCATTTGGATTGCTGCACGTGGAGCATTTTAACGAAAAATACCTTGGGTTCTGTCCAAAAGCCTAAAGAATAAAGGCGAACATAAATTTTGCTGGAATAACATCTGTTATATATTATGATAGCCAGCTATTTAAATAAAAGAGATAAGAAGCTTCCAATCTCCAGAGTCAATTACTTAATGACCACAACCGCCCAATAGCCTATTCAGAAACACTATTTTGAAAACTCGCCATCTCAAATTGTTATTTTTATTTTTTCTCAATTGGTCCAAAAACGACTCTTTTGTCTGACGGAAGGTAAGATGTTTAGTTGTCAGTCAAACTTCTTTAAGTTACTAGTACTTCATGGAACAAAGTTAATTTCGAATTTTAGCTACTACTTCTTCGTAAATTCCATTCACAAATGCACCGCACCGTTTTAGTTCCATGTGAGGACACTTTATCATCGGAAATATGGGAACTAAGGACTCACCATCGTACTAAATGTAACTAAAAGACGTATTTGCTGTAGCGTCCAGAGGCTTCCCATAGGGTGGGGGAAGACAAAAAGGCAAACGGAGCTTGAACTTGGCCCGAAGGCCAGCCAACGTGTAAAAGTGCAGGACGCATTCTAAAATGACCACCGAACGTCAGGTAGTCACATGAATAAAGCATTACGCTATTCCTCTTTTCTTTTCAGCGTCGTCTTTGGCGCTCCCCTTTGGTACACCTCCCGCGCCGGCTATCACAACACATTCGGTACTACAAGAAAGCACCCACGAGCCAACCGCGCCAGTTGACAGATAGCATGAATCTGAGGGACCGTGCTTGGTATCCTTGGCAGTTTCAACTGGATCTGAAGTTACGTTCGGTCTGACAGCCAGATTCGAGGCCGCATAACCTGTCCACCATCAATTGCTTCCAGAAATAGACGGTGGAACTCTGGTCTAAAACATATATTTTACAAGGGAAACGGGATGAACCACTGTTCCGTATGTAAGAAGAACCGTAGTGTCATTTCCGACACATATGCACGATTTTGTATGGGAACTTCCGACACGAAACTTCTCCAGATGGTTCACGGTGGTGCCGCTTTAGTTGTTGGTAGCTTGTCTATGGAATGCAGGAATAAGGTGAAACCAAACGTAGACGACAGTCTAAATCCCTTCGTTGTGAAAGATTCAGGGATTTTCCGTCACCATGGTAAGTGCCTCTCCTTCGATTCACGTCCCTTTTTGACTGTATCTCCATCTACTACGCTTCGATAGAGTTAAACTTCCTTTTACACATGTATACCTTATGATTGCCGGTGCACAACGTTAAAATGCGCTTAGTAATCTTGGATTTCCTCACTAGACTGTAGAATTTCTTTGCAGTCTTGTCCGCTGTTTGGATTATATTATCCTTGTCGTGAAAAGAGAGATTCCAACTTTCCGGCCAAGGGAACCCGACTTTGGAGTATTTGCATGCATTGAACCAGTGCACCATTCAATCGAACCTTTGTTCATCGGTCTGTTCATACTGCTCTTTCCCGGAAATCAGTAGATTAATTGGCAAAGTTTAGCAACGCAAACGTAGGATGTCATTAAGACAGCGGTGCCTGCTGGGCAATAGATTTTCCCGTGTACTATGTCGCTTTTGCAGCAGAAGGTCTTCAAAAGCACTTTATACCTAAAAATCGTTAAAAAAATGTCGGGTTTGCTTTCCGCTACCACCAGTGTAGCGTCCCGAGGCTTTCCATAGAGTGGAAGAAGGCATGATTGTATTCGAAGACGAAAAGGTAAACGGAGCTTGAGCTTGGCTCGAAGGCCAGCCCACGTGTACAGAGCCAGACAAATTCTAATGTGACCGCTAAACTTCAGGTAGCCACATGAACAAAGCATTACAGTTGCATTAATCGTGCAGTTTGTTTGGGTCTCAATCTTGGGCCTCGATCCCCTGTCAGCTCTGTGACAAGCCCAAAGTATAATGTTGGATCGCAACATTGGAAACGGATGAATACAGGTGGGTATTTAAGAGCTTTTATCTCATTTCCCACTACTACATGAAAACTCTCAGTAAGATAATTGAAGTGCACATACTACGGGTGGTGGAATGGATAAAATGCAGTACCATAAAAGTTGATAATCACATCTCCCAATACTGAGTCCAGATCCATCTTAAAAGCATTTCGACCTCGAAACTCCCCATTGCCTTTGCCCAAAATGTTAAATTTGAGGTCAGGTTCCCCTGTTAGTAGCACAGAAGCTATGCTATACCTTCATGGACCTCACGGGAGTTTTACTTTCTTGCTGAACACATTCTGATGAACAATACACGAAGTTAGATGAGCTATTGAATTAACAATTCCATTGAATGCGATCTGGATTTGTTGTAATACAGTTGGCAGAGTATTTTTATATGCATCCGTACCAGAATGGTCATAGTACCTTCGTCAAGTAAACCGGTCAAGTATTCAGCCGTAGTGGAAACCTAAGTACACTAAGACAACATCCCTTAACAGAGTCCTACTTTGATATTAACCCTCATTAGGAGTGTTTCTATCACCCGCCAGCGACTAACCCACCCAACAAAATGGCAATGAAAGAGCTTAAGACTGGTAATGCACAGAAAGTCAAAGCTGATTATGGTCGGTAAAATGCCGTCCTTAAGAGGCAAGCATGCAATATCTTCTCCAGCTAACTGTCCGTAGGGGTACCAGCCACATTGGCAGCCAATCCATTTTTACTAGGTGCACTGGCCTCTGAACCATGCCAAAATCTACCTTACTCTTTGTCTAATAGGGAATCCCGGAGCGTCGAAAAGCAAGACTCCGATATGTTCGTCGTTTACCATAACAATCACCTAGTGAACATGATATAAGGTCCGCATTGTGACACAAATACACGCTTTTGAAGCTTAGTAACCGTGCCAAAACCTTAAACTTTGCATCAAATAATGAAGTTGCGACTTTTTCCGTTGACCGGTAACGTCAACATCCAAGGGATGAGAGGAGGCACTCTTGAAAACCGCTTGATTCACACAGATGACACACCAAATTACTTCACAAAATTAATCGTACACAGAATCTGAAGAGATTCATTATTATCACAAATGACTTATAAAAATAAAATACACAAGATCTTTAAGTTATATTTATGTAGTGGCGTTCTTCATGTTTTTCGGAAGAGGATTAATGGCACCTTTTAGTTGCCGCACACAGTGCGTGACACTGTCCAGCATCAATCTAGACAAGTTAAAACAAATAAAAATAACTCATGACTCCAAAAAAAATGCTTGTATACGTGCAACTCACTTTTTCTTTTCCGCCAACACCCGTTCACACTCTGTGTTTAATCGATACAGCTCCGCCACTTCATCCAAATCCGTCGGTATGCTGGTCGCCGTGGTCGTATCAGGATCAAGTAGATCCAAAGGATTCGGTGACAATGTGTCAATCGCAGCGACGGTTGCCTCAATATCCCCACCCAATTTAATAAGACAGTTCCGCAACTCACACAGCTCTGGTGTCCAACGTTTCTGGACGCGATTCGTACACAGACCACACAAGAGAGCAGCTTGAGATCTTTAAAAATGCAAAAAAAACGTATGAATTCATATGCCAATTAGGCAAATGAAGGAAAGAAAAATCTCCGCTCACCTAGCCTCACGAATTTTTTCAGAGAGGAAAGAAACAGCGTCAAAGGATGAATTGGGACCATTAAGGTCAAAAACTATGGGCTTTGGTGCAACTGCGGTAACTCCTGAATCAGGTGGGCTCTTTGGAGAGGAATTTTTGACGATTTCAGGGACGGATTGTTCGCAGAGTGCAGTCGGAGGAGAAATCAAGGCAAAGCTCTCATTCGCCAAGTGTCTGTACAAAGGTTTGCCACATAATGGCTTTTCAGAACATGGTGGTAAGTTTTCATTCACCGTCCCCCGAGGTATTTCAGGAGAAATCGCTAAAACAAATTCAAAAAATTAGGCTGGAATTAAAGGGACTAAAAGTGGTGCCCTTCAAACAGCTTACATCTTCGCATATCACTCACAAATGCCTCTGCAGAAATGCATTTATGAGCCCTCTTGGCAAAATCAATATTTTCCATAATCTCATTAAGATCCTCGACTGCCGTTGAAACACGATCAACAACATGACAAGGGGGTATATGACTAAGAGTAACGTCGAATCGACTTTCAATGTCCTTTTCTATTGCTTCTATGTTAAAAAACCTTTGTTCGGCAGAATGAGCATTGGGATATGGAACTAAAACAAATAAGTTTAAGACAGGGCACGCACTTCTATCCATTCCAAATATATCGGCGTATACCCTCACAAAGTAATCTGCATCACTCCCTTTGCCCGATGAATTTTGGTGCTCACTACCAGAAGTGTGTGAGTTGGAGACAGGAACTACAGATTTGACTAGACCACGGCCCGACCTCACAGCGGACCGACTCCGAGAACAGCTGACACCGCTCATTTTGACTCAAATAATCGCCAAATGATCAGGATAATATAACAAAACAATTAAAGTCACATGCTTAAAAAAATTTTACAAAGTCAGGCAGAATATTTATTGATTTTTTTCGTGGCAAAGCTAAAGTTGTTATTGTGCAAAATTTGCAAATAAACTTAAACCAGAGGCTTATGTTTCATTTTTCATATCTACGTAAGAATTAGCCAAAAATATCACGATTGATAAGCTTTTAATGAATTCGCGTGGTCCATGTTACGATAAAGAAGGACTAATTGCTCTGGTTCTACTATAGTAATGACCAAGGCTTCGATTAGACCATTGGATGTTGTCACTTGGGCGAGTTCTACAACATTTTAGGGCGTGTTCTTACGTAGTTTCTAATGGCAACTTCACAGAAGGAGGTTAACGGTGGTGATAATGAACCGGAAAATATACAAGAACTTACAAAAACCGTAACAGTTTACTCTTCTTTATTGCTTTCTAGATTCAATCCATGATTTCGCAAATGCAGGAAAAGTTTCAGGAAATGAGTGACCAGCTCGTACAGAAAAATATCCTTTTCAACAAATTTTAATTGCTTCATGCGTCTTTGCGTCGGCGATCTCACTCGATACTACTTGTTCTTTCCTGCGTGATTATGTCCGGAAAATGTTCCGAAATCCTAATTCTTTTCCTTTACATGCACTTTATACTAGATGACATGTCTTCCCGGATCGATGATCTTGAGAAAAATATCGGAGAAATCCTCAACTCGCAAGATGGCGACTGACTATTTTGCCTCTAAATAAAGAGCCGTATTACTTGCATACCCATCCTTCAACTCCCTTTCTTTACTTCCTTTGATGGGTATGCAGAGCCCTGGCGCTAATCGTTCGTGCATCAAGTGAATTAGCAACATTAGTTCCATTTATTGCATCAATTTCATTTTTGCGATTGCTTGTGAACTTTAGTTCTGTAAGTTGGTCTTTTGCATGGCGTACACTTCTCTCCGAGGGTAAATTGTTTCAGAACGTAGTCGAGTATTTTGGATATAGTCTCCCTTCTCCAATGAAGAGTAATTTTGACGTCGATTGAAAACACCTGAAAGCGTTCAATGCAACATTTTACCATTCTAACTTCGGGTTCGAACCATTACAACAAGATAGCGGCTGTTCTCCATCTCTGAATGGGTGCGCCCACAGGAAATGTGTCACCCGTGTTTATCCTTCTTTTTCTGGTTTTCGAAAGCGAAGGAGATCCATTTCGTCGAATGCTACATGCCATCGGTGTGTAAAACTCCATTACCGTACAGATATAAATTCCTTGTGTTGGCTCGCTCAGTTGGGACCACTTCAGGTAGCTTAAAACCTCGAAGTTGGTGGTGGGCGTCCACCCACACAGAGCCGCCTCGGTAGTTAGCCATTCTAAAGCCGTGAACCTGGGGATGTCGCATTTACATTACGTAATGACATGAGCAGACTTAGTGACTCTTGCCATGGTTAGAAAAGACATTAAGCGCAAGTGACGAATGCACAACTAATCATTAGGTAGATTTGTGTTACAAGCTCTCTAAGGCATTATCGGTACAAGAAAGCCAGTTGCCAATGTAAACATGTAAAAAATCATTTATAAAATAAAAGCTTAGGACTGGAAACTTCGTTTGGACTGGATCTCATCCAGAATTTGCTGAAGTTCTTCTTCCGGGAAACGTGGACCCTCTAAACTTGGAATCAAGACTCTCGCCTCCTCCGCTGTATCAGGCAAAAGATTCGCAATTGCAGCAAGCTCAAAATTATGAAAGTGTTTTTGAACAAGTAAGCTGAACGAGAACGGTATAAAATAAAGGGTAGTCGCACTTTCTAACACTTTCGATGGTTTCACGATTATTGAATTTCGAGAATTGGGTGGCATAGTTATAAGTCTTTGTAAAATTATTTGATAGCTCCAACTCATGGATTGGATTACTCTCGTTTTGCTTTTTCCTGTATGAAGAGTATAAATTGCAACGCGTAATGTCACCTATGCTCCAAAAGAAACTTCACTTCGGATATCATGAGAGTTTCAGCATTCTCGAATTCTAAAAAGCGCATTAAGGATTGGTTAAGTGATACCTTTCTGGAATCTCAGTTCTTTCGCATCAGAATCATCATCGACCGCTCGCATCTGAGCCATCGCAAATAATTCACTAACAGCCAATCATCATCGAGCCTAAGGTCTGGGTCAAATTGAAGCTAGTTTCTGTTCAATAGCAGATTAAAACACATTAGCGTACGTTTATATAGGGTGTGAAAAATGTTGGGCCTGCTACACACGATCAGCGTATACGCGTATTTATCGTATAAGATTGTTGTAACTTAGCTATGTATGATTTTACTTGGTAGTGTAAGTGGCTTGCGAACTGTATTGTCGCTGTATAAAATTTTAGCTTTCAAGACTTCGTTAGGATATCCGAAGGCATAGCACTGAAGTTGATTGCATTAAAATTGGTTTTTGGTACTTTATGGGATTCTAACAGCCCGTAAGTCCATATGCACTTTCAAGTGACAAAAATTATCACACGAGTTGTTGTCTGTAAGTGTAAAGTGCATTCAAGTAGAAGCGGAAAGGAGTGAAATTTGGCTTGTTTCGAAGGTAAGAACAAGATGAATGCCAAAGTAATCGCCAGTCATGCAGATGGCTGACAGAAATCAAACGCTCTTGGAAAATATGGGCCTGGTTGCCGTTGTAAAATTCGTCTATTTGTTGCTGATTTTGTTGTCACTTTATAGTTTGTTACTTAAACTGTTTAGACTAAGCGGTATCGGAAAAATTTGTCATTCTCTTAAGTCTCAATACGGTCAAACAAAGCACATTGATTTATTTGTTCACCTTACATCTTAAAGTAGCATCAGATTTGGGCATTTCTCGGAATGCTTTGCATATTTCTTTAATACTTTCACTGTCATTTGACATCGCTTACCACTTTAACATATGCATATGATACAAAAAGGACTCCAAAATATTCATTTTCGCTCTTCATCGGTACACTTTAACTGACCACCTAAGTTGTGCGTCTATGTGGAATGAACTAAGCATTGAGCTCTGCAATTTATTCTAATCATGCTCGAGTTACATTTCAGGACTAATGCACTCCCCAATCCAAATAGCTTTCTTTTGCCTTAACAATCTTTGGTATTCACATTTTCATTGCACAGTTCGAGATGCTTTAATGCATACGGACTGACACATGTTGGTATGTTGCGATTTTTTGGGACTACCTTACGACTGAATATCAGCAAGTAAGCGAATGGGAACACAAAACCTCCTCAGGTATGACAATTCATCATTTACTCTACCTCCTAAATATGATTTCGTCCACCGAAACAAAAACCGCCTCCTTTGTTTCAGCTCCACAGAAACGAAGCCTACCTGACTTAATTTCAGTTTCTGCCTGCGAAAAATAGTGTGGCGTCTTTTCTCTACAAACTCTTTCCTCGAATGCGTACCAGAAATGCCCTTCGATAACTACGCACATCTTACGATGCCGTAAGGACAAAGCATGTGGTACTCTTCCATAAGTTCGCCTTTCCATTCATGAGAGATAAAGTCAAGTCTTATTCAATCAATTCCACTTTCGATCCTCAACTTGTAACTTTAAGCTACTTGTGTCCAGTAACATTTACTGTTCTTCAAGATAGTGGTAAAAAACTCTTAATTACTAAAGTGTTTATTGAGCATTTCGTGTTACAAGACTTTACATACCACTTTTTACCCCCTCCCTCCAAAAAAACAGCATCCAATGGGAATTTCATTCTGTCAAAATAATACCCACGTGTTCCATTATGCCTCCCACCAGATAGTTCGAATGTGGTGCGTTCAAGACCGATCAATATTTGAATCGATAGCGTGGCTTGAATGATCCACCAAGGGGCGGCAGAAACTAGGCCGGCTTTAGTGGAACAAAAAGGAAGTATATGTCAAAATTTATTGATTTCTGGGTTAGACACCCACCGCGGTGAGTATTTATGCCTCTGTGTCGCTTTGTGTGGCTTGGCGCCATACATAAATTCTTCTGTGTGTGTGTGTGTGTATACATATGACGGTGTGTTATCCTGTGCGTTTTTGCCTTTGACAAGCGGTAACAGCTGGTGAGGAAACAAAAATTTCCCTCCCTGTGCGTGCGCGTAGCACCCACCACCTTCTCTACCCCCCACACCGACAGAGAGGTGCGGGTACAATGGATCTTCCCGCAGAAGTCACAGGGCAAAACGCCGCACACATAGACCATTTTAGGTCTGGGAATCTGTTGCATTCCGCAGCAGTAATGGATGAAGTGATTTCGCCCTATCACAGCCTGATTTGCCTCATCACAGGACCGCCTAGACATAGCTCAAATGCCCACTTCTATTGTCTGCTTAAAATGGAGCTAAAACTTTTGGCGTTTCTTACTTATAGAGGGTCACCATTTCCCTATAATTTGTCTGTTGCCGTCTCCTCCTCTTTTAAAAGTGTTCACGAAATTTATCTCATTTCTGCTTCATTTCCTTGGTAAATTAATCGCGAAGTTATTTGTGCGAAGCGTTTTAGAAGAGGACCGAATTAAAGGCGAGCCACCTAAATGTTCCCTGGAATGGAGTGGACGACCAGTAAAGCCCTATAGCACGGACTCTCTCCATTTTCCAACTCTGATTATCTGTTTTATTTCAAGAATGCGACCATAATAGATTTACTAGCATGGTAATGAATTAGAGGGACGGAGGAAAAGGACGTTTAAAGCACTTGTTTTGATTCCCCCCAAAATGCATGGATCAAAAAGCGTGCGATTGCTATCTCTGAGAGAATGCGGAAGCTAAAAGGCATGGATTTCACACAAGAAAGGCTGGTTTGTGCAGAGATTGGTCATGCAGCCTTTGCAGTACATTTCTCGAACCCTTTTGATGTCTTTGGTGGAGGAAGGAAGCAACTTTGCACATTTGCCTTTTTTGGTTAAAGCTAATACAACAGAACAATGAAAGGAGGTTAAGTAGTGTTGAGGTTGTGTGACGCCTGAGAGCGATCTTAACTTATTACGTGGGTAAAAGATGTGATCCACAGCGTTGACAGTGGACAGACATACCAAAAGGGAGGATCAGTAATTCCTACTGCAAATGTTTTGTTCACATTCGACCTTCTGCCCGCTCTAATGCCGCTGAGGAGTGGAAAGTAAGTGAGACAAGTTTTGCAAACCATCTGTGTGTAGGGAGAGGCCTTTCAGTGTTAGAGTGGAAGCGTTCCATCGCACCTGCATCCACTTAATCTCCTTACGCCGCCAAAGAGGAAACAGAGAAAGACGAGGCATGTTTACCGACCGCCACGTCTTAATGAAATGCAATAAAATCGCTCCTTTTAATCGCAAAAATTGTCGAGAATTGATCAAGGAAACGTTTCTTTTGCTCGATCGAAGGGGGACACACTTCTTTTATCCTCGTTCTCCGCGTGGGAACTGTCGCCCTCGCTTGACTTGTTTAACGGGCGCAGTGACTGGACTGGGTTGTCGTCAGGACCTCGGCAGTTCTTGCGAGGCTTCACTTCTGCTTTGTGCTTGTGTCATCGTCTTGCCTTTCCGTGGGATTTTTCGCCAAAATGTTTGTCTTACATGGAAGTGACAAAAATGGTGCAGTGTGATGCGATGAAATAGGGAAAAGTTTTGTTTTTCTAGCATGCACTTGAGACGTAATTTGATATGCTGCCCACCTAGAGGCCGTTTTTCCCTGTAGCTATTGCATCCCAACGCTTAAGACAAGCAAAAAAGAGACTTGTACTAGATTTTGTGCCCTTAAGGTGGTCACGACGACTTCTCGTTGCCTTATTTCATCCTTCCACTGTGTTCCCCTCCCAACATCCCCGGAGAGAGTTGAGATGCACTCCCGTGTTGCCATCCGTCACTTCTTTCTGAGGCCAGATTTCTCGAAGGAGCAGACACCATCAATGGCATTGACACGATGAAGGAGTGGAGTGATTCGCTGTGTTTGCAATTTGCGCGATAAAAGCGATTCACTCGCAGCCCACTTCGCTCTTCGTCGCACTCCACACGACGTCGCCTATGGAGCAAGGGGAACAAAAAAAGCAAAAAAAGGCGAGTAAACCTTTGTTCCTGAACTTTGGGCCGCATTAAGGCGTCTGAGTGTCATGGTACAACCAGACACCGTTTGTCAGCCACACAAACATCTGTCAGAGAAGTAGAAAATTGTATCATCAAAACGCTCTTTGAAAAAAATTACATTCAAGCAATTGTCTATCTCCTTTGATTAGCCACAAAGTGAGCAAAAAGACGCACCCAAACACAAAAACGATTTGTCATACATACTCTCAAGAGGCCAATTTTGGGTCGCGAGTTGCAGTTCCAACACGAGCGACACGCTTCAATCAGTAGTTCGTTCACCTTTGCGGGACGTCATTCCAGACTGGCGGGTTCGATGCTGCCTTCGGGATGGTGGCAATTTGCCCAATGAAGTCTGCTGTTTGTCCCTTGATGGTCTTGAAAGGCTTGCATTGAACATGGAACTTAACTTCCAAAAGTTTTCTCATTTCTCTTTGTCCCATAGGCATTTAAGGGTGATCAGTTTCGTTAAAGGTGAAAAATGGCTCATCAGTTTACCATGTCTAAGGTTTTTTTAAGGTTGACGACATAACTTTTGTGTCAGACTAAATCGCATTTCAGTATGGCACAATTTCTTCCTCCAAATAACTCAGACCTTAAAACCAACATGAAACGGCAAACATTTCTCTCTCACTCTCGATCCTTTCTTACTGTAAATGAGGGGAAAAAGTAAGACCAAAGGCGTGGAAATGGCTTCTCGCCTTCTTGACATAGTTCTGCGGTTAAATTTATGGACTGCATGGGTGAAGGAAGATTTGTTAGGCCAGTTGAGGCATCCCCTTCCGGTGGTGAGAGATTCCCACACTTCTGTCGTTTTGCCAACCGGAGAAATGTGCTTTTGCTTTTAGCGAATGGAATGCGACCGTCTTATAATCTTGACCTTGCCTGTCAAAACATGCTCCTCACTTTGGCCTCATGACTGGGACAAAAAATTGTCTTTTATGCCAAATTACGACCATTGATTACCTCTGCTAGATTTACTATCTAAAAGTTGAGGTCGCTGAGAAAATTGTAAGTAGCAGGTAACTTCGAACAGCGAAAAGAAACGATTCATCGGCTGAAGAGATGG